TAGTGCACACCTGTAGAGAGAGTCTGTGTGGAAAGTGTCCTGATACTGAGTCAGATCGTCTGTAAGTTGGTGGACACAGGACACCATGGATTTGGATTATGACCAACTGCGGGATATTCGTCAACGATTTTTCTCCTGTTACCAGGTGTGTAATGGTAGATAATGAGGAGGGTTTGGAATGTTAATCATCAGGATCATGATGTATTACAAAGTTTATTTACCAGACTGATGCATGTTACCACCTGTTTGATACTTAAAATGTAGAATTCTCTATATAGGGGTAATCGCATGTGTACAGGGATGTTGGTAGTCAAGGTGGGATTTTGCAGCATATATAAATCGTATGAATACATTGCAAAGTAACCTGTATAAACTTAAACCTGAATAACCAAAATCTGTATAAAACAGAGCATTACCTAAGTATGCTATTTCTAGACAACCATGAAATTTGGTCTTCAGAAGATTTGAACCTAGGTCTTTTGTTGTAACAGTGTTTATTTAGAGTTGAACTGCTATTGAAAATAAGCAGTTCCTCCATTCTGTGGAATACATACATGCTGCGAAATTTGTAAACAAAATTTCGTCTGTGTTGGACTCGGGTGACAAGGGATTTGAGTGTAGAACTTAATGACATGGTATTCTATGTCCTGTTAATATCATAATTACAGGTTATATGGTGTTACCTACATCCTGTTAATATCACGATTGTAGGTTTATATGGTGTTACAGGACTGCCTTCATACAAACTGATGTCCTGTAGATGTTCTAAAATATGTCATTTGATTTTAGTTTAGTTACCTATAGTCTTGTCTTACATCACACTCATTTTTATTTATAAAGAATGTTCTATATAGTTTTGATAGACATAAGTATTGCCTTATCCCCACAGTATTGCCATGAATTGATGTGTACGTGTTGTGGTGGTCCTGTCACTATTATACCAGGTATTTAAAACAATTCAGTACAGGGGAAGCTGATATTACTAATTCATCATCCCAGGGAGAGCCTAATTGATATAATTCATCAGTAAATTGGGGAGAAATCAATAATCTTTAAATAGTTTAACAGACCATTGGTTTAAATTGTACAATATTACTTAATTTATGGTTGATATGGAAACTCACGCTGACATTATCTTTTGAACTTTTCTTCATCAATGCATGGTAGCTGGATAACCTGATTGATGGAAATCAAAATAAAAAATGATCATTGTAGCGAGACTATAGGTTTAACCACTCAATGGTCAGGTAGCTTAATTTATTAAAACATTTGTAAAGGTAAACAATTATTGCAATTTCCTCTTCTGTTTCATTTGACACCTTCCTTTCTGTACAGATGTAAGAGCTGGGTCTCATGTTTTTATGGTGTTGAAGTCCTAGAATAAGTCAATTCCTGGTTATCAGCTAACTTTGTTTCTGTTTCTGCCTTATATGTGAAACCCTGAAGTTGTACACCAACAAAAGGTTCTATAAGGTTTAATGTGAATAATTCATACTACCATACCCACAAAAGGTTCTAAAATATTGAATATGAATAATGGAATAATGCATGGTTGGAAGTCTTCACTGATGGAACAACAAATGCATGAATTTTTAAAAACTATCAACTATTCCATATAGCTCTGCTGGTTAGATGTTTGTCTAGTCATCCCTAACCAGTACCTCAGCTGGTCAGAGCTTTTGTCTGGTTGTCTGTTACCTGTAGCTCAGCTGGTCAGAGCTTTTGTCTGGTTGTCTGTTACCTTTAGCTCAGCTGATCACAGCTTTTGTCTGGTCATCTGTTACTGTAGCTCAGCTGGTCAGAGCTTTGTCTGGTCATCTGTTACCTGTAGCTCAGCTGGTCAGAGCTTTTGTCTGGTCATCTGTTACCTGCAGCTCAGCTGGTCAGAGCTTTGTCTGGTCATCTGTTACCTGTAGCTCAGCTGGTCAGAGCTTTTGTCTGGTCATCTGTTACCTGTAGCTCAGCTGGTCAGAGCTTTGTCTGGTCATCTGTTACCTATAGCTCAGCTGGTTTGAGCATAGTCTGGTCATCTGTTACCTGTACCTCAGCTGGTTTGAGCATTGTCTGGTCATCTGTTACCTGTACCTCAGCTGGTTTGAGCATTGTCTGGTCATCTGTTACCTGTACCTCAGCTAGTTTGAGCATTGATTTGTCGTCCCTAACCTGTTCCTCAGCTGGTTTGAGCTTTGTCTGGTTGTCCCTAACCTGTACCTCAGCTGGTTTGAGCATTGTCTGGTTGTCTGTTACCTGTAGTTCAGCTGGTCAGAGCTTTTGTCTGGTTGTCTGTTACCTGTACCTCAGCTGGTCAGAGCTTTTGTCTGGTCATCTGTTACCTGTAGCTCAGCTGGTCAGAGCTTTGTCTGGTCATCTGTTACCTATAGCTCAGCTGGTTTGAGCATAGTCTGGTCATCTGTTACCTGTACCTCAGCTGGTTTGAGCATTGTCTGGTCATCTGTTACCTGTACCTCAGCTGGTTTGAGCATTGTCTGGTCATCTGTTACCTGTACCTCAGCTAGTTTGAGCATTGTCTTGTCGTCCCTAACCTGTTCCTCAGCTGGTTTGAGCTTTGTCTGGTTGTCCCTAACCTGTACCTCAGCTGGTTTGAGCATTGTCTGGTTGTCTGTTACCTGTAGCTCAGCTGGTCAGAGCTTTTGTCTGGTTGTCTGTTACCTGTACCTCAGCTGGTCAGAGCTTTTGTCTGGTCATCTGTTACTGTGCCTCAGCTTGTCAGAGCTTTTGTCTGGTTATCTGTTACTGTACCTCAGCTTGTCAGAGCTTTTGTCTGGTTGTCTGTTACCTGTAGCTTAGCTCGTTAGAGCTTTTGTCCGGTCATCTGTTACCTGTAGCTCAGCTGGTCAGAGCTTTGTCTGGTTGTCACTAACCTGTAGCTCAGCTGGTTTGAGCATGGTTGTCCCTAATCTGTGGATACTTGTAATACATGTATCTAGATTTACAGGTGGTCCGAAATTTAAAATCCAATAAAGTCTCCTCCTTTTTCATATCTTGTTGTATAATGGTTTCACAATTGATATAAAAATTCCTACTGAAAGCATTATTAGTTATTTGATACCTTAAACAAATCGTCCCCTTTAATTTCACCATTTGTGAGCTCAGAGATTTATTGATAAATTATGTAAAGACTGTGTAGCCAAGTCTTGTCAGTGTGAAAACATAACACTTTTAAGATCAAATTAAAATTTTTGATATTGTTCCTGTTAAGTCTGGCCAGATAAAAGTAAGAAGATTGATGAGAAATAAACATACAAAAAATATCCAATTAATTCAGAGAGATGGTTTAAGTGACACAAGAAGAGGCTATGCAGCAGTGTCCAGATTTAGTATTCCATGGCTATCAGTCTTCTGTCATTTTCTGTCATTTTCGATGTCAATTTTCTCTGATGTTTCTTGATGTCCGTATTCTCTGATGTCATCCCTATTTTTATCACCTTGTAGTAAGGTGTAATATTTTGTCATTCACTGTTGATTCACAATCAGAAGAACTTAAGCCCTTACTTATATAATGTATAGATAGAAAGTCTTTTAACTGCATGTTGTTGACAATGGATGTTTTATGAGAAACTCTTGAAACTGAATTACAAAGACAAGAACCAATGTTTTATAATTTACTAGTCATATATCTAGGTACTCCAAATCTCAGTTCTGTTGTTATAAAGTCTTAGATCCAATCCTACAGCATCAGCACTTTCAATGCCTTGTTAACTTGAAGACTTTGTAAAATTTATTTCTGTGATTTATTACATAATATTTTTCAAATTAAAAAACTGAAGAAGCAGGTAGTGGAATATATTGTCCTCACACAAAGATGGAAATTGAAACGATATTTCATCTTGATAAAATTTTATTATTCCTTGGTACATGGTGTTTTATTTAATGTTAAGCTGTGAGTACTGTGATATAATGTTGAGTGTTTGTGGAGAGAGATAAGGTTGCCAGGGAATCATGGTCAGATATCATTAGTCTGTTCTTCCCACCTTGTATTCATATAAATTTTATTGTTTTACAATATTTATTGTTTATTTATTTGAAATATTTCACAGGGTTGGGTAAGGAATGGGAAATAAGATCAACACATAGGCAGCCATGTTAAAATGATAGCCAAAATATACCCTAATTATTTCACACTGTTGTCACTATCACTTGAATGTGTGCCATAGTGTTTGACATTACACTTGATATATGAAAACCTGTACATACAGCACATTATTTTTCTTGTTAGAGTCTATAGTCTCTGACTTGGATGATCTGTGTAACAGGTATTACCTTGGTAAATTAATTGATAATCCTTATCAAGTGGGGTGGGGGTTGGTTGGTTGCCGACAGTGGGGGAGAGAGGAAGGGGGGGGTGGGGGGGGGGAGCAGGCAATGTTTATTGGTGAACAGTATTCATTTATAATTCAAAATATAGTTCAATTTTGAGGATGTTTCATGTTATGTGAGTATTTCATGGTCAGAAATCAATGTGCCTGTGTTTGTGTTTCACTTAGGACTTGTCATGTTTATGACCCATAGGTAATTTAATACTGAAAGCCATCTTATATCAATCCAGCTGTATTGATAACAGACCAGTTTAGGTGTTTTGTGATGGAGATGAAAAGAAACAGGGATGTTTTTGTATTAATTTTTATCAGAGAAAAGGATATCAGTCACCCTTTTAATTTATGGGTTTAAAGGTCCTGAGTAAGTTAGGTTCGATGATTATTACAGTAGAAATAGTCCTATTGTTGTGTGACGTTTACTTGTCCTAGCCTGTCTGACATGTCAGAGGCACAGTGTATGGAAACTGGTGCAAGATTGAGAGGGTTGGGGTTAGGGTTAGGTGGATAAGGAAAATGTAAGGGTAAGTTTTGAAATAAGAAATGAGATTCAGAGGGCAGGGGTTAGGGATGGAGTAAGGTGGGGGGGAGGTAAGGGTTGATATTGAAATAAGAAATACGATTGAGAGGGCAGGGGTTATTGGTGGAGTAAGCTAGGGGGAGGTAATGGTTGATTTTGAAATAAGAAATGAGATTGAGAGGGCAGGGGTTAGCAGTAGAGTAAGATGGGGGGGAGGTAATGGTTGATATTGAAATAAGAAATGAGATTCAGAGGTTTAGGGTTTGGCTGGGGTGGGATGGGGAGAGGTAAGGGATAGTTTCAAAATTAGAAATGAAATTGAACATATAGGGGTTATGGTGAGGTGGTGTAGGGAAATCACTCTTATTATGGAATAAAAGAAAAAATACATAAATATATCAAGAAAGATGGCATTATTTTTGTGCTTAATTGTCCTTTTGAACATACCCATGTTAAAAAGATGTATTTTAATCCATTAAAAACAATAGAGGGTTGATATCTAAATTGCTTTACATTCCTGATAGGTAATTATATACATTTTAATTACTTTCTTATCTTTATACAAGCCTGTACATGACTGTGATCAGGCAAAGCTTTTTAGAGATACAGATTATAGTGAAGCCTCTAATCAGTGTTTGTATGGATTTTATCAATACTTAGAGTACTTCTTTTATTGAACACAACACAACACAATTTAACTGTTTAAAACAAAATGATAATAATTTGTATGACTCAATGTCTTTAAATCTCCAATCTTTCTCACTGTATTGGATTATCAGCATTGTTCTCACCACACATACAATATCTGTTTACTTTCATTAGTTCTTTGTTTACCCAATCTAACATACACAAATTGGTCACACTGTAATTTGAATGACTTTTTGACACACAAAGACTTCAGGTGATTTAAAAGTTAAGGTCATGTTTATAACAAATATTATCCTTTCAGTGTTATAATTGGAAATATTTTGAAATTACTTGATGTTTCAAGCATTTGTTGTACTGTGATTTTGATTTTTGGTGTGATTTGTTGAAATTGACCAGATTTGTTCAGATAGTCATTCTTTAAGGATATATGTTAACCATACAAAAGATGTTTAAGTATTCTTTTAAACAAAAAAATTCTTCCTGTGATGGACCTGTCTACATAAAGGCTACAATTAGTCAGAAACTCTACCTGGTATATCCCCTAAACTCTAAACTCTACCTGGTATATCCCCTAAACTCTACCTGGTATATCCCCTAAACTCTACCTGGTATATCCCCTAAACTCTACCTGGTATATCCCCTAAACTCTACCTGGTATATCCCCTAAACTCTACCTGGTATATCCCCCAAACTCTACCTGGTATATCCCCCAAACTCTACCTGGTATATCCCCCAAACTCTACCTGGTATATCCCCTAAACTCTACCTGGTATATCCCCCAAACTCTACCTGGTATATCCCCTAAACTCTACCTGGTATATCCCCTAAACTCTACCTGGTATATCCCCTAAACTCTACCTGGTATATCCCCTAAACTCTACCTGGTATATCCCCTAAACTCTACCTGGTATATCCCCTAAACTCTACCTGGTATATCCCCTAACTCTACCTGGTATATCCCCTAAACTCTACCTGGTATATCCCCTAAACTCTACCTGGTATATCCCCTAAACTCTACCTGGTATATCCCCTAAACTCTACCTGGTATATCCCCCTAACTCTACCTGGTATATCCCCTAAACTCTACCTGGTATATCCCCTAAACTCTACCTGGTATATCCCCTAACTCTACCTGGTATATCCCCTAAACTCTACCTGGTATATCCCCTAAACTCTACCTGGTATATCCCCCAAACTCTACCTGGTATATCCCCTAAACTCTACCTGGTATATCCCCTAAACTCTACCTGGTATATCCCCTAAACTCTACCTGGTATATCCCCTAAACTCTACCTGGTATATCCCCCAAACTCTACCTGGTATATCCCCTAACTCTACCTGGTATATCCCCCAAACTCTACCTGGTATATGTATATCCCCTAAACTCTACCTGGTATATCCTCTTAACTCTACCTGGTATATCCCCCAAACGCTACCTGGTATATGTATATCCCCTAAACTCTACCTGGTATATGTATATCCCCTTAACTCTACCTGGTATATCCCCTAAACTCTAAACTCTACCTAGTATATCCCATAAACTCAACCTAGTATATCCCTAACTCTACCTGGTCATAAGGTCCATTTGTTTAACCAATTCATCACCATGGGTGCTTAATTTCAGAAAATGATAACTGAGAACCTTTCATAATTAAGAAGATTCTATTCTAAATCACTTTGTGATTTTACAGGGATCTTGAGACGTAACAAATATGTTATTCAAGCTTTATAAGCCAATTTAATCTTTAAAACTGGCATGGAAACTGAGTCTGACCATGATTGTTTTTCTTACAGGATTTAGAGGAGGGCAAACAGCAGAATAAACAAGCCATGCATGATAAAATGGTGGCTGTAGCAAAAGCAAAGGATAATGTCCGCAATGAAATGCAAGCAGAGTTTGACAAAGCCAAGGACAAAATGACGCAGGTCAGTTAATATGTAAATTATCAAGGATGAAATGACACAGGTCAGTTCATATGTAAATTAACAAGGACAAAATGACGCAGGTCAGTTAATATGTAAATTATCAAGGATGAAATGACACAGGTCAGTTTATATGTAAATTATCAAGGACAAAATGTCACAGGTCAGTTAATATGTAAATTAACATAATCACCGTAGTCATTTATTACAGTTTATTTCAAATATCATTACGACCAAATTTCTACTTTTTTATCTTAAGGATTACCAACGTGAAATTGACAAACTCACAGAGATTGTCAGACAACAGGAAGAAGAGTTACGGAAATTGAAGACAGAGCGTATCCAATGGATACACCAGGACAGACAGAACTCTACGGTGTTAGACAAGTTGGAACGCACTGTTGTTAATGAAGTCAATGAAGAATGTCGCAGAACTTCCAATGTCCTCGGTGTAGGTCCACGCAAGGTCAACATAGCAAGGTAGGTCTCTGTTATTAACAGGAGTAAGTCATCGCACGGTCGACATATCAAGGTAGGTCTCTGTTATTAACAGGAGTAAGTCATCGCACGGTCAACATATCAAGGTAGGTCTCTGTTATTAACAGGAGTAAGTCATCGCACGGTCAACATATCAAGGTAGGTCAATGTTATTAACTGGTGTAGGTCCTTGCAAGGTCAACATATTAAGGTGATCAATGTTGTCACTAGATGTAGGTCAACTTAAGGTCCCATGCATGACGAAATCAGGTCAATGTTGTCACTGAATGTTGGTTGATGTAAGGCCAACTTATTAAGGTAGGTCCAATTGGATAATAGAGAAACATTATACAGGCAGTTCACTGAAGTTTGCGCTTGTCTTATATTCAATAGAAGATAGTCAAATAATAGTTTAATTTTATTCATTTATTTATAAAGAAATTATTTCGTAACCTGATAAAAGCTAAAGTTGTAAGTAACTTTTCTGTCCTTTTCAGTTTCCAAGGTGATAGTCAAATAAGAACACCAACAACGTCAGCCTTGGTAAGTAGTCGTATATTACATGGTATCAATGTTTACTACCGTAACAATTATACACTGTTAAGTATACATCAGTCACACATTGTAAAGCTAGAATTGCTCAAGTCAGCTTTCATTGATAACAATGGTGAATTATTTGCTTTTCATTTATCATTATTTATTCCCTTCTTTGGTGCTTAATTACCTCCCCTTATCATAGAGGAATTACCTCCCTTCCCTCGCATTTTAACTGATAAATAACTCCCTGATCCCTTTCCTGATTATGAATAATTTTCCATTTCTTATTTATTCTTCAGTATAACTGATACATTTATATTGTTTCTGTAGTCAGATGATATATTATATATATCAGACATGTTCTATTCCTCACTAAGAAGTGTCACCCTTTGAGATAAAATACTACATACTTTGATTTTATACTGCAAATACAAACTATTACAAACTTGAGCAAGTCTAGATCAGTCTTTGTATACATATCACATTCATCAATTGGCACCAATATATATTTCACATACTTAATTTTTGTAGTACTTAGGCATATATGTAGTTACTTGAAATATAGACCATATTGTTGTCTTGTCAATATTGATTTCTTATTCCTAACATGGTTAAAAACAGGAGAGACAAATACTATGGCAAATATAATTCTCAATTTCGAAATAGTCGGGGTTTGATATTTTAGCTTTAGTCTCATTGCTAAGGTGACAGAGAACACAACCCTCTGTGATTTTGGTGCTTAATATCAAAGCCTTAGTGTCGATGTCTAGGGAGTGGAGGGCACCATGTTCTGTGATTCTGGTGCCATGCATTGTAGCTTTAGCCCTGTTGTCTAGGTAACGGAGGGCACGACCGTCTGTGATCCTGGTGCTCTGTATTGTGGCCTAAGCCCGGTTGTCTAGGTAACGGAGGGACCCACCCTCTGTGATCCTGGTGCTCTGTATTGTGGCCTAAGCCCAGTTGTCTAGGTAATGGAGGGCACCACCCTCTGTTATCCTGGTGCCTTGTATTGTGGCCTAAGCCCAGTTGTCTAGGTACCGGAGGGCACCACCCTCTGTTATCCTGGTGCCTTGTATTGTGGCCTAAGCCCAGTTGTCTAGGTACCGGAGGGCACCACCCTCTGTGATTCTGGTGCCTTGTATTGTGGCCTAAGCCCCCTTGTCGTAGTAATGGAGGGCACCACCCTCTGTTATCCTGGTGCCTTGTATTGTGGCCTAAGCCCAGTTGTCTAGGTACCGGAGGGCACCACCCTCTGTGATTCTGGTGCCTTGTATTGTGGCCTAAGCCCCCTTGTCGTAGTAATGGAGGGCACCACCCTCTGTGATTCTGGTGCTTTATATCAAAGCATTAGTGTCATTGTCTGGGAAACAGAGGGCACCACCCTCTGTGATCCTGGTGCCTTGTATTGTGGCCTAAGCCCGGTTGTCTAGGTAACGGAGGGTACCACCCTCTGTGATCCTGGTGCCTTGTATTGTGGCCTAAGCCCGGTTGTCTAGGTAACGGAAGGAACCACCCTCTGTAATCCTGGTGCTTTATATCAAAGCATTAGTATCGTTGTCTAGGTAATGGAGGGACCCACCCTCTGTGATCCTGGTGCTTTATATCAAAGCATTAGTGTCATTGTCTGGGAAGCAGAGGGCACCACCTCTGTTATCCTGGTGCCTTGTATTGTGGCCTAAGCCCAGTTGTCTAGGTAACGGAGGGTACCACCCTCTGTGATTCTGGTGCTTTATATCAAAGCATTAGTGTCATTGTCTGGGAAACAGAGGGCACCACCCTCTGTTATCCTGGTGCCTTGTATTGTGGCCTAAGCCCAGTTGTCTAGGTACCGGAGGGCACCACCCTCTGTGATTCTGGTGCCTTGTATTGTGGCCTAAGCCCAGTTGTCTAGGTAACGGAGGGTACCACCCTCTGTGATTCTGGTGCTTTATATCAAAGCATTAGTGTCATTGTCTGGGAAACAGAGGGCACCACCCTCTGTTATCCTGGTGCCTTGTATTGTGGCCTAAGTCCCGTTGTCTAGGTAATGGAGGGCACCACCCTCTGTGATCCTGGTGCCTTGTATTGTGGCCTAAGTCCCGTTGTCTAGGTAACGGAGGGCACCACCCTCTGTGATCCTGGTGCCTTATGATACATTTTCTATACCAGGTCCAACAGGAAGGATGGTATAACAATGGATATACTGAGGTTTGTTTAATACTCACAGGGCCTTAAAACCACCACACAAAAAAACTTCATGTTTAAAGTTCAGTCTTCATAAACACTTACAGCAAGTATGTTTTCTTGTTCTTGATTAAATGGTTAAACTTACCTGGTACTGATTCTACCTTGAGTCAAAGCATCAAATTGATGTCGTCAAGGTTTAAGGTCCCTTTGAAATTCCAAGATAAAAGTTGTACCCAAAATAGAGGAAATAATTCAGATTATCAGAAAATACACATTTGCAAATAAATTTGTTCTTGTTAGATGATCAATGAAAATTGACATATCTAGGTTGATAATCAATAATTTTCTAGTGAGTTACTAATTCTGACTAGATACAGGATGAATTGACAAGTCCTGCTGGGCTGTATAATATAGTGTGGTGGTTTTATTGGTCCTGGTACCTGTCGCTGTATGTGTCGCTTCATCTGTAGTCTGAACCGCTGTATGTTAATAGTGCTCGGTACATCATCTATATTAATGTACTGTGTTCAGAATTTAATTTTTCTTTCATTTTATAGACAAAATTGAAGGAGCATGCTGAACATTCATGCCAAAACTGTATTGGAATGTTTTGTAGCAAAGCTGGAATTGATTTCAAAATGCATGACATTACACTAGAAAACATCCTTTTTCTTTTTATCATACAGATTTGATGTAATTTTCATTTATTGCTAAATTGCATGATTAATAGATGTGAATATTAAATAAATCAGAACAAAACTGTTTACTACAAATCAAGTTTTAAGAAGCAATGCTTTCACAGGCATTTACATCTAACAATAGTGTCTTTGAAAACAGGTAGAGGCTTAAGAACTGTCCAGGAGTTCTCAAAAAAAAAAAAAAAAAAAGAGACAAAAATTAAATTCCAATAGGTACTAGGATTTTAAGGTGTTGTTACTGTCTTCTGAAACATAAAACAGTTCAGTATTTGTATGTAGGTAAATCTTTTAAATTTTATTCTTTTTTTATAATAATTTCATGTCAGTTTGTGCTTTTATTCAATCTAGTTTATTAACATGACTAATATTAAAACAAGTACCTGTTATAATTTACAAACCATGGCAAATATTTTTTGAGAAATTAGGACCTAATATAGAACTGTAGTCTAATCCTTTTATTGTAGATAATGAGTAGTTATTCAATTACATTACTTTTTAAACTTCTGTTTCCTTATCTAACCATTCCAGTGATGATGTAGAAGCTTATCACTTTCAGATAAGGAATGAGTCTGGTTGCTAGAAGTATTTTTAATCAAATTTGATACTTGATATATTTTTAAGTGTGGAGGATAACATCTACATTCAAACATACAAAGACTCCCTGAATCATGTTAACGAATGTTTTACAAAAAAATTCAAAGCAAAAGTTTTACAAAACATTGACTTTAGTTGTAACAGACTTCATGTCTCTGTTTTGTTCCTGGAATAAGTTCATATTTGGTGAAAACACTCTTACCAATCCAAAGTCCTACCATAAATTTCTGTTCAAAGAAAAAATTTAATCTTAAATTTGTGAAGCAGAACGGTACTGAAAATTCTCTCCAAATGTCACATTTTACAGTGAGATATTTTAAAATTTTTAATTTAATTGCCTGATGTTGAAGATTTTATTAATAAAATCTTTCAGCATGAGAATAACAACTAATATTCTGATATTATAGCAATGTGCTTTGATATCTAGATGTCAGTCTTTCTGTTTGGTGATCTCATAACTTTGTATAATGATCTCGTTCATTTTTGTACTGATTTCAACAATTTTGTGTGAGTTATGTCATAATTTTGTGTGAATGATGTCATAATTTTGTGCGATTTGATGTCATGGCTTTGCGTGTTGTGTAACAGGCTAACTTGCGGGCATGTAATGAGGAACTGCGTAACCTTGTGCAAGAACTCAAACAAGAACTAAAACGTCAAAAGTCCTCCATTATGAGGACAGAGCGTGACAAGGTAGGACTGATCTGAGAAAAATAGTCTGTTGGGTTGGATAATTGATTAATTTCCAATTAATTGATTTTGATTTGATATACATTAGTACTGCTGTTTCTGCAAATTTAATTTCTCAGGAATCAATTATGTATTCATATGCTGAAATTTCCATTGGTTCATGTCAGTTTAGTTCTGTGTCAATTAAAGGAGAAACCTAAGATAAACTACAGCATGTAAAACATTAACTTTCTCTGCATGGATTGATACATATGGTTTGATAGCAATTTTATTGCATGATGATAATTGGTAGCATACTTATGTTATTTTTGGATAACATTATACTTTAATCTGCATGAAATAATATATTTTTCAACAATAATTTATTTTACCGAGTGCTTTGAATTACAGATTGTTTCAATAAATATGAATTTAACTTTCAGAGTTTTTAAACTTGACTTGTTGAATAATTTTCTGTGATACGACAATGACTGTAGGCCTGTACATTCAGGCAGGACCCATGGAAAAGCGAACAGGTTTAATTCCAATATATAACACTGATTATCTGGATGTATTACAGGAGGAAATGGTGCAGAAGATTAAAGAACAACTGGAAAAGGAGAAAAATATGGAACTGGAAAGACTGAAGGCAAAATTAGCAAAGGTATGTACTAGGATTTTGTCCTTGATCATCACTACAATATTTACATATATGATACAGGAAAGTGTAAAACAATGTAACAATCCTACAAGGCATTCAAATCTCATGATTGCAGTTGTTACCCAGCCAACAATATTTTTATATCTTGATGAACCTTGAAATGAAATGTTTACAGACATGAATAGAAAATAATTGTTGTTTTATGTGTAAATGAAATTTTATTTGTATTTTGTCTTTGAATTTGACTTCATTATCTACCATTCCTACAGGGATCTCAGAATGAACTTCGTGAAACGTTCATTCAGAACATGCCCAACAACGATTTGGCAGCAAGCATGTAAGAACTCTGACCAACAGGAACATTTGATGCTGTTCTGTGACTAATTATCTCCCCTGTTTCTGCTACAGCATGCTTTATTTAACCATTATTGACAAAATGTTATGGTAGAACTTGTCTTATCTGACACCTGATGCAGTTTTTAACACAGTTTGATCTGATTCATGTGAATTCATCAGTTATTTATTGTAAAAAAGTTGACAACAATTAAAAACACAACACCATTTTTAAAAGGATCATGACTTTCAGAACATTTTTCTACATACTTTCTTATTTATCACAGAAAAAAATACTGTCACGAGTTTGTGAATTAATTCATAATACAAAAATTGATAAAGATAAATACATAATCATAATATTTCTGAAGTTAAACAATTTAACCAGCTCTCAAAAACGTTTTTTCACCTGTAATGTTGAAGGTGTATCTACCGTAGACAGGTTCTACTTATAATGTACCTAGACACTGCAGGTCTTGTTAGAATGTTTCATAACCTGAATACATGGAAAGTTAGGACTTTATTCAGTAGATCTAGACTGACAGATGCTTGCTGCTAATTTTACTTATTTTTTTTACCTTTTTTACCAGACATAAACATATACTTTATACTTGTAAAAACATGTTATATTGGAATGGGTTTGGAGTGGGTTGTAAAGTTATGTATGTATTATACAAAACTGCATTATTCAAATTGGGGAACCTTGCTTGTTGCCTACATATAGAACCAACAAAATTTTAGTTGAGAAATTTGGAAGCTTCAATTTCAAATCAGGATATTTTGATGATTAGGTCTTTAAGTGTGAAGCTTGAAAAAATCCCTCGTAAAATGATATGATTTTGGGTCATACAGCAAAGCCCATAGGGGCATCTGATTAGAGGTAGAAAATGGCACACCTGGATACGATGATCATTGGGTTAGGGAAATGGACCCTCAGTCCATCGTACAGGTGTAAAGGCTGTTGTTTATGTCTGCTATAGTAAGACTAACACCTTGCTGATTGATATTAACCAGAGAAATTTGTTATGATTGTACAAAATCATCAATAAATCAACCTGTAAGTTTAGCCAATTAACAATGAATTAGATATCAATTATAGATCATGTACATTCAGTAAATTAAGTTAAAACATTCATCTACATAGTTGTAAAGAAGTTAGCTAAAGCTTGATGGTTTTTGAGAAAAGGAGCCCACTTTGTTAACTCGTAAAATGTATCTTATCTGAAATTTTACAATCATATGACTGTGAAAGCAATTTGTAGTTTACATATTCAACTTTTCTTATTGTGGTGGTATGCAAGATGATTAATTTACACAAATTTTACTATTTCTTGCATTAAAAGAAAGTAAATTTTGGAATAGGGAATAACAGTTGTCAAATAGATTTAATTGGTTTATTGGTATTAGAACATTCAGTTAAGGGTTTTGATATTTAAATAATTAAAGAAGTATTACAAAATAAGGTTGATTCATTGGTGATATTCTTGTTTTTTTTTAATGCCACTATTTTGCATCAGAGTGTTTGCTAATTACTAATTAATTAGGAGCATGCTTTGGAGAAGAACAGACTGAACAGGACTTACATGGAGAGAGACAGAAACCACCTCCATTCTCTACGTAAAAAGGATGAAGAACTAAGTTGTCTGAAGAAAAACTTTGATACATGGAAATCACAAACAGATGCCCTGTTTAACATACGGGAAGAAAATGAAAAGTTGGAAAATGAAATGTAAACACTAAGTGTTAAGTGTTTGGCACTGTGTGTGGTGTGTCATTTAATTTGGCACTGTTTGTGGTGTGTCATTCTGCACGTCCATTTTTCTCACCCAATACTAAAAACTAGTGTGATTTAAAATTATAAATTCATTTGAATTTTATTCATCTTATCACACTTCATCACATGATTCAAACCAAACATTTTGAAATTATGATATTGTTAATGTATTCTATAAGAGTAAGATGCTAGTTTGGCTACCACAGGTGTGGTTTTAGAAGTAAAAGTAGGGAGGAGGCTGGGGGCACAGTTATTGACACTATACAACTATATTAACTTAACAAAATGTTTAGTTCAGATAGATAAAAAGTGAGATGTTTTTGTCACAGTAGGTATTTTCTTATTCTTTGGTAATTTTGTTTATCTTGTCCCAACAGGCTACAAAGAGGTTTCAATCATTACTGATAAATATTTTAAAAACCTATAAAATCTTTAAAAGATGACATGGAATCATAAATGTGGTAGTTATGTTGTATTTCTGGTCCCTTGTTTCAATCCAAAGTCCTGATTTCCTGTTCTGTCTAGTTCTCTTTTCCTAAGTTTGTCTTCTCACACATTTAAATCTGTGTTTTTGTTGACAACTCTTGATATAATATTTTGTTTATAATTTGTATATAATTTGATGTTTTCGTGGTTATCTATTAGCATTAATAGGACCAATTTAAATGATAATTGTTTTGATTTGATAAAAAGATTTGTAAGTTTGATTTAAAAACCAATCACCAATCACAAACAAAATTACAGGTTTGAACGTGTGAACGCCTGCTGGTGATTAGACCTGTTAATGATCTTTGCTTCTCTATAAATCTGGTGGCTAGTGTGTGAGATAACTAAATGTTGAACTGTACAACATGGCTATCATTTCATTGTTGCTGTCGTACATAACCATACTTGTAAACAATATTCTTAAAACTGGTAAGATGTTCCACATTCTTTAAACATCGGCGTTTTTATTTCAGGTCATGTTTATAACTATTTATTTATTATAAAACTTGTCAATATCATTTCCTACCTATTGGAGATTTGTAGATAATCATATTGTTAAAAATCAATCTTAGAAAAAACCTGTCATGATGAAACAATGTTTTTTCCCCTCCTTTTGTTTTTTATATTCTGATAATTTCTTTTGTTAGAAACTTTTAGCCTAATGTAAATCTGAGCTGATAATTAAGTTATCAAGTTAAACTTCAGTTTATAATTGGTGGAGTTTCACAAGCTTCCAGATTTCTCTAAACTTTTGTTGGTTCTATTTGTAGGCAATACAGCAAGCCCCCAAAGGTTCCTCAATATGAGTTTAAACCCAGGAGTGATCTCCAACAGCAAGAAGTGGATCGACTGGAGCGGGAAATTAAACGATTAGCAATGGTATGTCAGAGTTACCTCCCTTCATCTAATTGGATGTTTAGATGTTGTGTTTTCATTGTTCTTCGTTCGTGTGGCATCATTTATTAGGCACAATATTATTGGTGTGAGCTTATTGTATGTATAGATTTTTTTTCCTTCGGGTGAAATCCTTTGATTTTTAGACAGGACATTAATAATGACAGTTTTAGTAACTCAATCACTGGGTTAGGCATGTCAGTAGCTGGTGCATGATTTCTTAGTCATAACATTTTCTTCATTATATACATATAAATATGCATGACGAGTTATCCAAATAATGACCTCTTTTGTGTACATCTTAATTTAAACCTTTTATTTATAAAGACTACAAATAAATAGTCACAATATACTGCCTAGCTATAGAGAACTTCCTTTTAGCTCAATTGATTTAGTCTAAGATTAGGAAACCAGAGGTCCTGGGTTCAAATCTAAGTGAAGACATGGAAATAAATAATGACCTCTGTTACGCTATCAATTATACAGTTAACGTGTTTATAGTTAACACCTATAGAATGGTGATTTAATCTTTATTGCTACCTATATAAAAAAACATATACAAATGTAAATTACTTTGGTGTGCCAATTTTGATTCTGTTAGATATCTGAATGGTAGGATAACTTATAGAAGCTTATATGTTTTTATATATATTGTATTATCTGTGTGGTATATACGACTGTATTTGTGTGGTGAATCTCTGCTTGTTGATAAAACGTTCACAAGTGTGTTAATACTGTCTACGTAATTAACAATGCTACTACGCTGTCCTATATGTCTTTAGTTAACAGTTTCTGCACTTATTCACAAAAGAGTTTAACAACTCTTATTAAAATAGTTGTATTTATTATGGAAAATATAGTGAATGATCGGCATATCCAGCAGTTCTGTGAAAGTTGTGAGCTGATGGTGAAAACTTCAAAAATGGTGATGGAATTTAAACACAAGAGAAAACCTTAAGTGGTGTTTATCAGCTTCGGTACTGATAACTCTTACATATAATTTATCATTTTTTTAGCTGGTTCCAACTTTAGCAGTTTTACCAAAAGCTTGAAGTGACTATTTTTAGGAAGCCATAAGACTATTGTTTAATTGTCTTATTATGTATCGTATTATATCTTATTTACAAGAATTTTTTTGTGGTTTTGTTCCAACCTCAAAAATAACTTTAAAAGATTAAAAAAAACCCAAAATAATGACATTTACTAAATTGTGTATCTTACCTGTGAAACACTTACAGACATTAGCACACTTATGGATTGTGTCCTTCAATCTGTCTGCATGACCTATATTAATGTGTACTTCTTTCTCTCTCTATCTCATTCTTCTGAGTGTAGCACCAAAAACGACTGTTGGGTCAGACGCCCTCTAATCGCCAGACTAATGACGATATTAACGCATCCAAAATGATACAACACCTGCAGATGCAGGTGGCACAGCTTAACGCAGAAAATAGTTCACTACGTGGAGAACGACTTGCATCCTATTCTGTACCTGATCTCAGCAACCCCTCATATTATCAGCCAGGGGTCCGAGTAAGTACTGGGTTGTGGACATTGCTCCTGATCATGACCATGTGTGATGTGCATTAATTTGTTGGTGCACTGATTTGTGTAAAGTGTGTCTGATTGATACATATGGGTGTAAGTCCAATGATATGATTTTTTCATAGATTTAGCATTCAAAATATTATTACATTAAAAGTGAGTGGAGTTTTAAGAAATTCTGAAGGCAGAGTTCAAGAAAGATTATTAAAAGATTTTTTTCTATAACTATAATCAGGAGATATATGGAGAGAGTTGAAAATATTTCTGACCTGTAGATTATTGGGAGATATAAATGGTCTGGATTACAACAGCTGGCCCTGCTTTATTTGTAATGTGTTACAATTGATAAGGTGTATAGTAACACCTTGAAAGTGATATTTTGGTGGTTGTTTTTCTGTTTGGTAATGTGGTATGTGCTATGTCCCTTCTTATCTGAGGGTATGTCAGGAGATTGTCTCCGCTTTGTTTTATCCATGTAAGTAAAATATTTCTAAATGTTTTATATACACATGATATATATATACATATACCATACTGAAGAAATAATAAACTAACTTCCAGAAGGAAACTTAAAAAAAATCATTACGACTTGTTAAAATTAACAATAAACTCACAACTATTCTAACTTTTAATGCCTATAAAGTATGTGTTTATTTACAAATATTATATCAACTATAGTAACATCTATTTGATTGTGAAATCATGTCTTCAGTGAATTTGATACAAATATCTTATGAATGATTTTGTTCCCCAACTTTAATTTCATTTCAAAAGAAGAGTACAGATGACCAGATTGTATCTTCTCTATTTAAATTTTTTTATTATTCTGTTGTTTTTGTCAAGCTCAAGTTGAGACTAGCAGCTTTAAGTATGGTGATTTCTGAAGTTATATAATGGTAGTTACTGATAGGTTTTTTCCCTAGCAAGCAATTACAGCATAACCTATATTTGACAGACAATGGGAAGGTCCCCTTCACCTACACCTCACCAAGAGCGTATGATCAACTTCCTGGCCCATCGCACTAAGGCAGCAGAGTTAGAGTCGGATATGGCTGCAGAACAGCAGGAGAGGAGTCGCAATATGATGTCGCAGAAGATGGGAGACATGACAAAACTACAGAACACACTAACAAACCAAGCAAAGGTCAGTTTATAGATTTCACTTACAAACCAAGAAAAGGTCAGCTTATAGATTTCACTTACAAACCAAGAAAAGGTCAGGTTATAGATTTCACTAACAAACCAAGCAAAGGTCAGGTTATAGATTTCACTTACAAACCAAGAAAAGGTCAGTTTATAGATTTCACTTACAAACCAAGAAAAGGTCAGGTTATAGATTTCACTTACGAACCAAGCAAAGGTCAGGTTATAGATTTCACTTACGAACCAAGAAAAGGTCAGTTTATAGATTTCACTAACAAACCAAGCAAAGGTCAGTTTATAGATTTCACTTAAAAACCAAGCAAAGGTCAGCTTATTTATTTCACTTTTAGACCAAACAAAGGTCAGTTTATAGATTTCACTTACAAACCAAGAAAAGGTCAGTAATTTATTTCACTTACAAACCAAGCAAAGGTCAGCTTATAGATTTCACTTACAAACCAAACAAAAGTAAGTTAAAATATTACAGTTAAAAACCAAGCATTGTCAGCTTATAAATTACACTTACTAAGCAGAAAATTTAACTTTCTTATGACACTAATACATGATCAGCTGATAATTTGATTGATTTAATAAGGTCATTGTTTGAATGAAGTTTTCACCAAACAAATTTTGAAATATTTCTGAATTTGTTTATTTCAGGACCTGATACAGCTCAGTAGAGCCTACTCCAACCTGAACACTAATTATCCAGTAGCAAGGTAGCAGTGGTCATTAACACTAGGACCTTTCAACTTTGTTGGATCTTCCCACTTCCATGGATCTTTTCTGTGAGAGACTTTATGTGATGTTGTGAATTGATAGATTGAATGAACTCAACTTGAAGTTTTAAAATGTTCATGCAATCTCTACAGTATGCCAGTTCTTGGCTCAGTGATATTTATGAGACACTAGGTTCAGTTTTCGTGATTCATGATTCAAATTGATTCTCTACAGTTTGAAACGCTCCAAAACTTTTCAGAATACCATTAACAAAGCATCTATATAGGATAGCTTCAGATCTACTAGCCAACTTGCATTACATACATTGCTGGTATCAACTCTGCCATTTATATCAATGACGCCTATCTATGATCAGTATTAATTATCACTGATGTCTAGACCTAAGGACAAACTGTTTTCATGTGATCGCAGCCTTTATTAATACATAACAACATAATGTCAGCTCTTAACAGAGAAGGGGTGAAAAATGGAACAGACTAGCCAAATATAGTTTCCTTGTAATGTCTTTTCAAATAACAAACTTTCAACACAGTATTTCAGTTTATGATAAAATGGCGTTACCAATATCTATATAAGGTTAATTGTTATCAGCAATTTATTACTGAACTTAAAAGCTCCATCAACCAATATCCTATAATTTCATTAATTGAAGGATTATTTCATATTGGACCAACATTTTTGAGGAAAACAATGGTTGGTACTAAAAGTTTTCATGTGTGAATGTGATTTAGGAGTTCAGGAACTGAGAGATGTGAAAGAAAAAGGGAAATTGTAAGAGCCTGCATTAATGTGAAAACCTGCAGGGGAGATAACTTTGGAAGAGCGTGCTACTGTAAATGTGATATTTCATTGTGTATTTAGTAGTATTTCCTTGTCTTATGATTCATAAATACCAGGTACATTTAATTGTTTTCAAATGTTCATATATTTCATTTTGGGAGATGATCTCCCTTTAGTAATATAGAAGCAGGTATACAACTAGTATTACTTATTTGTATCTATATATTTATAGTTGTATTGTACCATTACTCAGTATACACTATATATGTACATGCTGGAATAAGGATCTGACTAAAATTTATTATATTATCAATCTGTGTACATAGAAATTTAGTCATAAAATATATGAAGTGTGTGATAAAACCAATTTTACCAATGTGGATGCATTAAGTAATAATGAAACGGTTGTGTTTACAGGTCCTCTCTACATGTATAGGGCAGTTTCATTAAGTAATAATGAAATGGTTGTGTTTACAGGTCCTCTCTACATGTATAGGGCAGTTTCATGAAGTAATAATGAAATGGTTGTGTTTACAGGTCCTCTCTACATATATAGGACAGTTTCATGCTGTGATCTTTCTTGTCTGTGATAATTTCCTTACATAAATCTATGGAAAGGAAGCTTTGAGTAAAAGCAGATTCACTTTATTATAAAAGTAAATGAAAATAATGCCGTCCATCTCCGGTATTTCACAAGTAGTTAAGAAACTGTATATCAAAACATTTATTTGCTTATACATACAAACTATTTACTATGAGTAATTCTGAAACATTGTTCCAGTGATTCTTTAATATCAAAATAGTCATATTTTTATCAAGTTTCTACATTTAATGTATGTGTGCACTCTCCGTCCTCATATATTTTTTTATCTTATAAATATATATCTATTTCTACATTTTTTGTCCATAGTTTTTGTCATGTGATGTTAACTGTTTTCTGTGTTTTTCTCCTCTTATTAAGTATTTGTGCCAATTATAGCCACTTTTGGCAGGAATACTTCTTGTATCACCTACCTTAAAATTGTGACAATTGGTATCAATGAGTACAATTAATCTGAAGCTGCCATGTAAAGAGTTTTCATCTGAAGCTGCCAAGGAAAGTGTTTATATCAATGTGCATTTGACCCTCCATTTTGAAGAGGAAGGTTTACTATGGGATAGTGAGTAGCCTCCCCTAGGCCAAGATATTGCCTTTAGTTTTGGTGAAAGTGGTTGGCATCAATGTGAAATAAACACGTTTAAAGAGAAAAAAAATCTTCACAAAACTGATGTTGGAGGGAGAGTTAAAGCTGGGTACAAGTCTCAACAATCTGTATTTTTACTCTTGATTGCTGGCCTTGTTAGGTGTAAATTTTCAATAAATGTTTATACTAGTTTTACAGTGTTTCCGTTAGAGTTGTTTATTATAAGAATAGTCTATAAGGTGTAAGGTTAATTGTTGTGTAGTTATACTATCGTATCCAGACTAATCATTTCTATGTCTTTGGTTGGACGTGATTTCCTTGGTACTCTACCAAAAAGCTACTGAAATGAAGATTTTTTTCTTGTAAAATGATAGTTTTTCTTGTGAAGTACAAGTATTGGTTTTTAGATAAACATAGACATTCCAGTTCTTCAAGTGACATGTCTCAATGACACCAAAATACAGACTGTTATCTACCAGGATTGTGCCTTCCTGATTATAGTATACTGTGAAAATTTGAAAAATACGACAGATATGTAGAAATGTCACTTTAGTTAAGGATGTATAATTTCATTGTACATCCCTGCTTTAATTTAGGTAAAAGCATCTCTTTCTTTGTGAAATTAGCTTTAAAGTTTATATCAAAATGAAAAAGAAACATATTTCTATATTAATTAAACAAGGTATGTACACTGTAGGTAATGACTCTCAGGCTATTTACCTCTACAAATATTTCTATTTAAGGTTATTTGTGAAGTTGTGAATGCATGCAGGAGTGCGAGTGCATGGTGGTGAGCATTTTAAACAATCAAATATACAACTGTAAACCAAACTTTATAACAATGTCTAGATGTCTATTATTCTGGAAATATTTTATTTCATGGATAGAAAATATAATAAAATTTTTAAGCAATTTATATGAAATGTATCAAGTGTTTTTGTTATTGGGTAATACCGATTTCTAACAATTTATGTTACATGATTTCAATATACAAATTTAAAAATGACATTTGTATACATTTTCTAACACATGGATTATATTCTACAAAATTCATTTCTAGCTTGAGAAGCACTTTGTCTGTAACACATAGATGGGAGTGTATTTATAACATATCATGACTTGTTGTTAACATCCTACTGACAGAACCATGACAAAACAGATTGAATTGAATTTTTACCAACCCAGCTAGCTAGAAAATGCTGTAACATTATATAACCTGGCACAGGGAGCTTTTAAAATGCAACAATACACATATAATTACTGGAATATGAATTCAATCAAAAGGAGGTTACTTGTTTTAGGTTTTCCCAAAATGTCAATAGTCAGGACCAATTTAAAACCTCCAATTACAACCAGAAATATCTCTGAGTCGGCTATCACAGCACCATCATAATTTTAAAAGTTTTATGAAACATTTAAATATCACAGTATGTAAAAAAATCATCAATCCTGTTGGGCTAACTTTTTTTCTTGTGAAAGGTCTTGAATATGGCGTTTTAGTTATTAGGTCTTCTCAGCATGATTAATCCAGCCTGTCGGATAGCACTCTCAGTCCGTAGGGATTTACCAGCCTATTGTAATTATTCAGTTCACTATTGTAAGTATGAATCCTTAGATATGGTCATAGGGAACTGCCAGCCTTATGTTGTAATTATAGGCCTCCGGTTCATCGTAAGTCGAGTGACAGATCTGGGGTAGGTCCTGTGTAGTTAGGTCAGCTGAGAAATCACAAACACTCAGAGACCCGCGAAACCTGTGTAAAGAAAAGTTAGAAAAGAACATGCATCAGAATATGAAATGTGATGACAGCCAAAAATACACAGTCATATATCATAATTTTACATGTGACAACAGCCCAAAATAAAAAAAGTGATAAATAAGAATGTGTAAAAATTATGAGCATATATTGCATCCAGTGATGTGAATATCCAGATAAAGTCCTGATGAAACCAAGGTGTTTACCTTTTTACTTCAATAAAGGACCAAAATGATCAGGAAAGTTTATCATTACAGGTGTCTGGATGCCAGATAGAGACCAATTATAGTTTACATGATGCTTACCTTCTATGAGCTAAATGGTCATCCCCAAGCACTTTTGTTGTGGCAGGAACGTTTCCAGAAATGAGTCGCTGCTTGTAGAAGTGGCAATATTGGACTGGGTGTCTGTAGATAAATAAAAGGAAGACTAAATCCTCATACTCCTGTATAATATAGGTCATCAATCTGTCACTTCTCACGATCACTATATGTTCAATGTGACTCTAACCACAGACCTTTGAACCCTGGACAGACACTATTAGAAACTAAGTTATATTGTAACATTTCTGTAATCAACATCAGACCATCAACAACTCTCCATAATTTTACACTTTGCTAGTTAAAGCCAGACCAATGCTTCACAAAATACAATACTAACTAAAATTTATTCAGAGATGCAAACCATGGCATTATTTGCTGCTCTATGTTGTTGGAATGAAGGTAAAATATGTGTAAGTACATGGAAGTAGAAATGCTTGTATTTCAATGTTCTAATAGCTTGATGGGTATATAGTGTTACATTTACTTATTGATAGATTGAATGAACTGTAAACGCTGATAAACAAAACCATCTGAACCCTGATAAATCAGCATCACCTTTTACATTATCTTTCAAACCTGAGGTTTTAGGTTAGTATTCAGTAGGAGGGCAATGTTTAGTTCATCAGTGGGAATTACATAGTTCACCTGTTGTGCCACTCCCAAAGCTTGGTGGACATGCGCCGGTCCCACACACAAACAAATCCCCCACCGTCCCCAGACACCACTTTCCAGTCATCCATCTGTACCGTTGTTATGTAGTTTGTATGACCAGATAACACTGTAGCAGCCTGATCTGTCCTCAAGTCAAATATCCGTACCCTACAACAAGAATGAACATAAATACATATAACCTTCAATGAGGGTGTAACTAGCCAAATAGGCTGGACCAACAAACCAAGATATACACAGCTACCGGTCACTATTTACAATTGCCAACTGCCATCACATTACAATAGTACTATAAACAGCCATGGTAATTATAAGACTATAAATGTACCTGGTACTGCTGTATTTTGACAGACATTATGTACATCACTACCACTAATCTTGTCAGCTATTCCATGTTTTAGCGATTCCCACTAGAAGGTTTTCAAAGTTGAACAAGAAGATGCTTTTCCCTCAGTATAACTTCTCCAAATCTAACCAATATTGCCAAAAACATTGTTGGTAATGCAATTATAAATGATAAAATTTGCACGATGCCCTCTTGGCAAATCTCTCATGAATCTTTAGTGGGTTCAAGAGACTTGTCAGAAGGGCTCTTTTAATTACATTGTCTATAACAATATACCATTCAGAAAACACTTTATTGTTTAGCTGCTATTAGGCAAATAAATTGTGACCCATACTTGCGGATATTGCCAGTTTTAATGACTACAACTTTAAGTCAAGGTCAAAAATCTGTAGCAACAACTATCTTGTAAAATATTCACAATTTATTAAATGGATGGAAATAAGGGAAATGAAAATAACAAAAACAACCTTTCATACAAATATATCTTATAACCACATAATGAGAAATCCTTTCTTCACCTTTCAGGAAGACTTTCAAGTAATCCTCATTCCCATTATCTAACTTTTCTAGTGTACTTCCTGTCACAACCTGGTAAGGAGGACTGTCTAGTGATCCTCTATTCTTTCAACTTACTTTATGTCCATACTTCCTGTCACTACCTGGTAAGGAGGACTGTCTAGTGATCCTCTTTTCTATCAACTTACTTTCTGTCCATACTTCCTGTCACCACCTGGTAAGGAGGACTGTCTAGTTATCCTCTTTTCATCAACTTACTTTCTTTCCATACTTCCTGTCACCACCTTGTAAGGAGGACTGTCTAGTGATCCTCCTTTCTATCAACTTACTTTCTGTCCATACTTCCTGTCACCACCTGGTAAGGAGGACTGTCTAGTGATCCTCTTTTCTATCAACTTACTTTCTGTCCATACTTCCTGTCACCATCTGGTAAGGAGGACTGTCTAGTGATCCTCTTTTCTATCAACTTACTTTCTGTCCATACTTCCTGTCACCACCTGGTAAGGAGGACTGTCTAGTGATCCTCTTTTCTATCAACTTACTTTCTGTCCATACTTCCTGTCACCACCTGGTAAGGAGGACTGTCTAGTGATCCTCCTTTCTATCAACTTACTTTCTGTCCATACTTTCTGTCACCACCTGGTAAGGAGGACTGTCTAGTGATCCTCTTTCATCAACTTACTTTCTGTCCATACTTCCTGTCATCACCTGGTAAGAAGGACTGTCTAGTGTTCCTCTTTTCTATCAACTTACTTTCTGTCCATACTTCCTGTCACCACCTGGTAAGGAGGACTGTCTAGTGATCCTCCTTTCTATCAACTTACTTTCTGTCCATACTTCCTGTCACCACCTTGTAAGGAGGACTGTCTAGTGATCCTCCTTTCTATCAACTTACTTTCTGTCCATACTTCCTGTCACCACCTGGTAAGGAGGACTGTCTAGTGTTCCTCTTTTCTATCAACTTACTTTCTGTCCATACTTCCTGTCACCACCTGGTAAGGAGGACTGTCTAGTGTTCCTCTTTTCTATCAACTTACTTTCTGTCCATACTTCCTGTCACCACCTGGTAAGGAGGACTGTCTTCAAGATTTAAACAATCGATGATGTGCATATGACCTGACAGCAATCTGATTGTCTTTGCTGTTTCAATGTCGTAGACAGTGCCCTAGAAATTAAAAATATGAATGTAATACTACAGTCTGTGGATTGAATTGTTTAAATTTTTGCAGTTAACTATGACAGCAGATTTATCTGAATTGATCAATTACTACATAAGAGAATAATTAATGAATCACAATATACAGGTAGCATTACCTTTCTATTTTGGTTGATGTAGATCAAATACACCTCTATTTGGCTTAACCCAAATGTTCTTGTATAATATCATATTTTGTTTTTGAATCAATATAATGTATATCTTTGTAAAACCTGGCATTTAAACTGGTAGAGCTTACGTGCTGTTTTGAGGTGGATATTTTAACTCCTGTGCCAATAGAACTGATAAGACCATATGCAATATTGGGTTTTACCTTAAAATGAGGCGTTTTAATATCTTCTTTTTTTATCTTACCTGATCTTTAAATGATCAATTCAAGGTCATTTTCATTTACTGTCAACAGCAAATAGCAACTGGCCATATTTTGTTAATTTCTTTGTCTATCCTGTGTGTACATCATCACAATCCTCTATATGAGTAGAATAGATGTTCTTGTAACACTACCAGTAGAAGTGTGACATTTTGATGACTACACGGCCACCTTCATCAGACGAATGACCAGTGTGAAGTGTACTAGCACTGACCAACGTAGTGTACCAGATGGTAAGGAGTTTACCAATTTTTTTGGCTGTACTGAGTTGGTCAATTCCTTACCATCTGTTACACTACAGTCATCAGATCTAAAGTGCTTTACACGGGTCATTTGTCTGATAAAGGTGACTGTGTAGTCATCGAAATGTCACCCTCTAATTTTCTACTGGTTACGCTAAATGAATCTCTATTCTATTCTCAAGAAAATGTTCAGAAATATCCTCTGTATGACTTACTATGGTAGCATGTCCAACAGCTATCATGGCTGGGTTTAGTCGCACATCCACACAGCTAACAGTCCCACTAGTAAGGAAGTGATCCTGAGGGGTGGCGTATTCTCTCATCTCCTCTGCTGTTCCCCCCGGGCAATGCAGGTACACCTCTCCCTGCTCAGTGGTAATGAATACCTGAGGCTCCTCTATGCCATCCTCTAACATGTTCAGATGTGACACCTAACAGTGTTAATGTAGAAACTTTTTATTTCACAAGATGAATCAGGAAAATAAAAAGTTTTACAAAACTAAATTGTAAACAGCCAAACTGGAGCCTATATTAATTTGGGTAAGAAGATTGATTTTGATGAGTCATTGAGTTTTATAGATGTTTGTTTCTGCAAGTTACAAGTTTAATAATGTAATACAAAAAAGTAGACAAGGGGTTTTTGAATTGCCATTGATATTCATAACATTTATAGAAAATTGTTCTAAAGATTAAAAATACAAGAGACCAAGGTGGCTTGTATCACAACCAATAACCTGGTATTAGATACTTTTTATAAACATATTAACATTCTCCACCTTTAAAGTGGATTCATATTAAATTTATTCAAACCAACTTTGAACACTAGCATGCTATCACTCAAAACTAAACATGTATTTGTGTACAACTGATGGAAATTCTATTCTGGAACAACAAATTCAATGAATGGGTCAAATGTATTTCTTATTTTTTTCCCCAAACTTTGGCTTGATTTTAGAAACCTACTTACCAAATTCTGGGCATATTGGTTGAGAATATAAAGTATAAATGAAGTTGTTCTTTCCAGGAATTAAAATATAATAAATATAAGCCTTCTTGTTAATCAGAGAAAAATGTTTGATTGTACATGTGTAACTAACTTGAGCCATGTAACCTTGAATATGCGTCAAGAATATTTCTTTTTCACATATGGCTGGGGTTGATCTCCAAATTATTTTTGGCCACATATCAGGACTCTATGCCTCTAGGTTAGTTATCTTAACAAATGTGATGACCTTGAATAGATGTCAATCTAGATTACTGTCATATCATAATCCAAGGTTTCTTCCTAAATCTATCCCCAGATTTAGAGATCATGATAAGGAATGTGTATGCACATGACTCTATCTGATTGTCCTGTGAAAACTTTTCATTGTTGTCTTTTTGCTGCATTCTCCACAATGAGAACTGCCATCCTGAGTACAAAAGAACACCTCCACCCCTAACAGATTAACAGATTATATACATCACTTTCCTACTATCCATAACTAAATTTTCAATGAAACCCACTGATGTGGAAATGTGCATGCACATTTACATATGGTTCCCAATATTCACATGTAGTTTCAGTGAATCTGATTCACAACTTACAAGGTCAGGGATAGCAATTATGATTTTTTCCCAATCATAGATTAAGATGGGGCATATTAAACAAATAAAAGTATCTGATTTAAATTGATAAAAGTGTAATATGTTTCTCAAGAAACATTGAACACCTCATATTTATTAACAACATGACCAAACTGAACATCAGAGTATCTATAGCAGGTAAATGAGGTATATCACACAACTGTCGTGAAGGTTTGTATATATACTCCCTTAACACTGTAATAAGTTTTATCAGATTTACCTGTTTCCCTGAGTATCGGTTCAACATGCTGTGGAGTTGGAAGCCAGTGTCTGTGTATGTGTATACGCTGATATCCATGCCGCTACCTGTAACAACCATGTCACATGACCTGGCGACACAGAATTTGTTGGCTCCTCGTGGTATTGTAAAGGCTGGATTCACATTATTGTTGTCCTTCAACCTCCAAATGTCAATGTGACCTGCATAACAAAAAAGGTATAAATAAACACACAAACATGATCAATGATAAATTTTGATCGTTAATCAAATACCAAAAAGGAAAAGATGTGTGTTTTGATTCGATTATAAGGTAAAGTTGGTGAAGTTTGGATAATTTTGATACAGTCAGTGCTGGAATGTCATACCTGGACTATACCTGGCTACAGTCAGTGTTGGAATGTCATACCTGGACTATACCTGGCTACAGTCAGTGTTAGAATGTCATACCTGGACTATACCTGGCTACAGTCAGTGTTAGAATGTCATACCTGGACTATACCTGGCTACAGTCAGTGTTGGAATGTCATACCTGGACTATACCTGGCTACAGTCAGTGTTGGAATGTCATACCTGGACTATACCTGGCTACAGTCAGTGTTGGAATGTCATACCTGGACTATACCTGGCTACAGTCAGTGTTGGAATGTCATACCTGGACTATACCTGGCTACAGTCAGTGTTGGAATGTCATACCTGGACTATACCTGGCTACAGTCAGTGTTGGAATGTCATACCTGGACTATACCTGGCTACAGTCAGTGTTGGAATGTCATACCTGGACTATACCTGGCTACAGTCAGTGTTGGAATGTCATACCTGGACTATACCTGGCTACAGTCAGTGTTGGAATGTCATACCTGGACTATACCTGGCTACAGTCAGTGTTGGAATGTCATACCTGGACTATACCTGGCTACAGTCAGTGTTGGAATGTCATACCTGGACTATACCTGGCTACAGTCAGTGTTGGAATGTCATACCTGGACTATACCTGGCTACAGTCAGTGTTGGAATGTCATACCTGGACTATACCTGGCTACAGTCAGTGTTGGAATGTCATACCTGGACTATACCTGGCTACAGTCAGTGTTGGAATGTCATACCTGGACTATACCTGGCTACAGTCAGTGTTGGAATGTCATACCTGGACTATACCTGGCTACAGTCAGTGTTGGAATGTCATACCTGGACTATACCTGGCTACAGTCAGTGTTGGAATGTCATACCTGGACTATACCTGGCTACAGTCAGTGTTAGAATGTCATACCTGGACTATACCAGGCTACAGTCAGTGTTGGAATGTCATACCTGGACTATACCTGGCTACAGTCAGTGTTGGAATGTCATACCTGGACTATACCAGGCTACAGTCAGTGTTGGAATGTCATGCCTGGACTATACCTGGCTACAGTCAGTGTTGGAATGTCATACCTGGACTATACCTGGCTACAGCCAGTGTTGGAATGTCATACCTGGACTATACCTGGCTACAGTCAGTGTTAGAATGTCATACCTGGACTATACCTGGCTACAGTCAGTGTTAGAATGTCATACCTGGACTATACCTGGCTACAGTCAGTGTTAGAATGTCATACCTGGACTATACCTGGCTACAGTCAGTGCTGGAATGTCATACCTGGACATTATCTGGCTACAGTCAGTGTTGGAATGTCATACCTGGACTATGTCTGGCTACAGTCAGTGCTGGAATGTCATACCTGGACTATACCTGGCTACAGTCAGTGTTAGAATGTCATACCTGGACTATACCTGGCTACAGTCAGTGTTGGAATGTCATACCTGGACTATACCTGGCTACAGTCAGTGTTGGAATGTCATACCTGGACTATACCTGGCTACAGTCAGTGTTGGAATGTCATACCTGGACTATACCTGGCTACAGTCAGTGTTAGAATGTCATACCTGGACTATACCTGGCTACAGTCAGTGTTAGAATGTCATACCTGGACTATGTCTGGCTACAGTCAGTGTTAGAATGTCATACCTGGACTATACCTGGCTACAGTCAGTGTTAGAATGTCATACCTGGACTATACCTGGCTACAGTCAGTGCTGGAATGTCATACCTGGATTATACCTGGCTACAGTCAGTGTTAGAATGTCATACCTGGACTATACCTGGCTACAGTCAGTGTTAGAATGTCACACCTGGATTATATCTGGCTACAGTCAGTGTTAGAATGTCATACCTGGACTATACCTGGCTACAGTCAGTGTTGGAATGTCATACCTGGACTATACCTGGCTACAGTCAGTGTTGGAATGTCATACCTGGACTATACCTGGCTACAGTCAGTGTTGGAATGTCATACCTGGACTATACCTGGCTACAGTCAGTGTTGGAATGTCATACCTGGACTATACCTGGCTACAGTCAGTGTTAGAATGTCATACCTGGACTATACCTGGCTACAGTCAGTGTTGGAATGTCATACCTGGACTATACCTGGCTACAGTCAGTGTTAGAATGTCATACCTGGACTATACCTGGCTACAGTCAGTGTTGGAATGTCATACCTGGACTATACCTGGCTACAGTCAGTGTTGGAATGTCATACCTGGACTATACCTGGCTACAGTCAGTGTTAGAATGTCATACCTGGACTATGTCTGGCTACAGACAGTGTTGGAATGTCATACCTGGACTATACCTGGCTACAGTCAGTGTTGGAATGTCATACCTGGACTATACCTGGCTACAGTCAGTGTTAGAATGTCATACCTGGACTATACCTGGCTACAGTCAGTGTTAGAATGTCATACCTGGACTATACCTGGCTACAGTCAGTGTTGGAATGTCATACCTGGACTATACCTGGCTACAGTCAGTGTTAGAATGTCATACCTGGACTATACCTGGCTACAGTCAGTGTTGGAATGTCATACCTGGACTATACCTCGCTACAGTCAGTGTTGGAATGTCATACCTGGACTATACCTGGCTACAGTCAGTGTTGGAATGTCATACCTGGATTATATCTGGCTACAGTCAGTGTTGGAATGTCATACCTGGATTATATCTGGCTACAGTCAGTGTTAGAATGTCATACCTGGACTATACCTGGCTACAGTCAGTGTTGGAATGTCATATCTGGATTATACCTGGCTACAGTCAGTGTTGGAATGTCATACCTGGACTATACCTGGCTACAGTCAGTGTTCGATGTCATGCCTGGACTGTATCTGGCTACAGTCAGTATCTGGCTACAGTCAGTGTTGGAATGTCATACCTGGACTATACCTGGCTACAGTCAGTGTTGGAATGTCATACCTGGACTATACCTGGCTACAGTCAGTGTTGGAATGTCATACCTGGACTATACCTGGCTACAGTCAGTGTTGGAATGTCATACCTGGACTATACCTGGCTACAGTCAGTGTTGGAATGTCATACCTGGACTATACCTGGCTACAGTCAGTGTTAGAATGTCATACCTGGACTATACCTGGCTACAGTCAGTGTTAGAATGTCATACCTGGACTATACCTGGCTACAGTCAGTGTTGGAATGTCATATCTGGATTATACCTGGCTACAGTCAGTGTTGGAATGTCATACCTGGACTATACCTGGCTACAGTCAGTGTTCGATGTCATGCCTGGACTGTATCTGGCTACAGTCAGTGTTAGAATGCCATACCTGGACTATACCAGGCAACAGTCAGTGTTGGAATGTCATACCTGGACTATACCTGGCTACAGTCAGTGTTGGAATGTCATACCTGGACTATACCTGGCTACAGTCAGTGTTGGAATGTCATACCTGGACTATACCTGGCTACAGTCAGTGTTGGAATGTCATACCTGGACTATACCTGGCTACAGTCAGTGTTGGAATGTCATACCTGGACTATACCTGGCTACAGTCAGTGTTAGAATGTCATACCTGGACTATACCTGGCTACAGTCAGTGTTAGAATGTCATACCTGGACTATACCTGGCTACAGTCAGTGTTGGAATGTCATACCTGGACTATACCTGGCTACAGTCAGTGTTAGAATGTCATACCTGGACTATACCTGGCTACAGTCAGTGTTAGAATGCCATACCTTGCTGATACCTGGCAACAGCTAGTGTTGGGGTGACTGCTAGCTGTGACACATCTATAGATATCATGCCTTCCTCTTCTCTTTCGTTAATGATTAGAGATGTGTTGGACGGCTTCAGAGTACAACTTTCCTCAAGGTCAAGGTCCCACATCTTAACCTCCCCATTAGAGTACCTACACAACAGGACATTTTTTGTGTGAATACTAAATAAATGTTATATATCAGGTGACCCTGGAAACCCTGAAACATCACTGATCACAAAATAGTATCGTTCTTTGTGTAAATGTGTGTAGTTAGGTCAAATACCACCAAAGAATGAAGCTGCTGATTTAAGCATTACACACATACATTATAATCCCTATATCCCCTTCACAAGCAGTTGCAAGGGCATATTTTTCCATTTAATTTTCAAGGCAAGTATGTGGCCAGTTAATGCCTTCAACTGAATTCCAGACTTCAAGTATCAGTTTATTAATCTAATTAAATTGGATACTGCTGACATCAGTAAGCTATCATTATCCTACATTTGAACTTCAATAAAATCCAGACCTCAGGTAATTACCTGAATTAAAATCTGGTATAATAAAACTCACCCAGCTACCACAGTGTTATTGTGCGAGTTAACAGAACACAGAATTCCTCCTTGAACATACTGTAGTGAAGTCTGGTTTCCTGTACGGTTCTGTCATGCAAACAAAATCATTATATACAGACATTCGTGTTTATCTGGTATAACGCAAACATAAAGATTCTGTTCTATGATCTATTAACATTACAGACTTTCAGACTTTGTCTTGTGACACTTAAAACATTATAAAAGTTACATGTATATTGTAGATGGTAAAACCTTTGTCTTTGGGTTTTGTGGAATATTTCAAACAGAAAGAAGGTCGACAAAATGATTTCTATTTTACTTAGTTATAGATACAGATACCTTCCAATTTGAGATGATCTGCTGGTCTTTAGTGATGTTTTCCCGGACAATAGCTTTCCATTGGCCAAGGTCCCTTGTCACATGATTTTGTTCATATCCCAGACTGTGACAGAGGTTACACCAGAGGAGTTCATCTTCAGCTAGACTTCGCCAACTACGACTCACCTGTATTAGCAAATTTATTGGATAGATTTACTACATTATTACACAGGGAAATTTAAAAAAAAAAAAAAAAGACAAAATTATCTATTCTACAAAATCTGTCATTTTTCAGTGCAGTGGTAATATATGAAATACAAAATCATCACATAATTTCTATTTGGTACATTCTAAGCTGTGTCCGTGACAGCTCAGTTGGTTAGAGCATTGGACTACAAAACCTCAAATTCTAGGCCATTGTTTTTACGTATCTAAGCTGATCTTAACCCAGCAATTGTAGATCCAGACAAAAAACATCTTTCTCTATATAGTAATCCTATTGTACTCAATTTTTATCATCTCAGATTAAAATTCAGCTCTGAATTTATTTAACAATGCTAGTAAAATGTTACCTGAGAACATCTACATAAATCTTTCAAACCAAGATGCTGAAAGATTTTCAGGGCAACTTCTCTGGGAAGAGATATGTCAAAGAAAGGTATTTCATCTATCTCATTCTGAAAGAAAATAAAACACATTGAATTTGTATATAATAGAAACAGTTTTTCTTTTCATGAAAATACGACTACAGTTTTATAATTCAAAGTGATCTATAAAATATATCTACTACGTTGATCGAGAGTCACAACAAGTTCACAACAGGAAATCACATTGCCCAGACCACATTTTACTGCACCATTCATTTATGAGTTTACATTGCCATCTGTTTATGAGTGTTTTAATTTCCTTGTGTGGAAGTTAGTATTCTGTTCTTCTTCTGTATCCTGTGATACTTCCTTAGCTTATCACATCCAGTTTATTTTTTCCTTACAACTTATGATCAAAGCCCAAAGCTGTTTTCTTGATTATTCAAAGGTTCCCTTAGTGGTAGGGAGCAAGGCTGCTAAGAGAAGAGGTCGCTAGTTAAAGCCCTAGCTGGGGCAGGGTATTATTCATTACAGTACTTCTTTTATACTATTCCTTTATTTTGTGAATATAAGGCTAAGAATATCAAATCAAAAGAAAATATAAATATGTTTGTCGCATCTTCCTTATTCTTCTTTATGTGCATTCTTTTAACTTTCTTGGCAATTTTCAGGAGGGCACTGTCATTTAAGTATTTATTTTATCTTGCACAAAATGTAAAACATAAGCACTACATGGGGAGAAGTATATCTAAATCATACATGTGGATGACCACAAAAAGCATAATATTGACAATTAATAAAGCCAATAGTTTAAAACTTGGTTACTTTCACAAGATCTCATGAAAATTTTCGTTAAAGACTTTCCAAAAAGTGAACTAGTACTCTTGCTTTATGACAGTTATTTTAAAAATGTAGGAAGTAGTGTTAAAAATATGATTATTTTAGCATCCTCCTCTTTATTAAGAGCAAATTGTCTGATTAGAATAATGTTGTAGTTCCTTGTGATTAACTTACTAAGTCTAGTAAAAACTGATCTAACAGGTGTCCCTTTGTAAAATTGTCAATTTTGGTTCTTTTTCTTTTGAAAACGTCTTCAATGCGTTCTTTCCCATAACTTTTAGACTCTTTTTGTGAACTTCGTGACCTCTTCAATCCACGTGCATCATTGACTGTCCCTCCACACATATAACATGATTCCGCACTGAATTTAACCTCATCTGCACATCCTTCTTCATTCCCTGAGCTTTTAGACGTGTGTGATCTATGCAATAAATTATGTACAATGTTAAATGGATAATATGTTATTGTTCTCTTAGTGGTTTCATTAAAATCTAAATAATTCAGAATCCCAGTTGGTTCTCCCTTAGCTTGTCCTTGATTTTGTAAGCATTTGTTGCATAAGATTTTGTCGTTATGTCCATTTTTCTCGCGACCACTTGATGAACCTGCTGTCGGCCCGTCATCAAACGTAGGCACGAACGATTTTCCTTCATGATCCGACTGGAGAGACTGCTTTCTGTTTGCGGGAGCAGACGACTCATTGCTGGATGATGACAGTGGTCTTTTCTCCGAGGTTTTCTTATTTAGCTCCTGCTTCCATTCGTCGCGGAAACTATCCAGAGATTTGTTTGGTTCCATGTCCTTTTCCACATCGAGTTATAGAAGTTCGAAACGTCTGACATAGGTTTTGTTTACCCAAAACTTCACACCTCCACTGTGAAGAGTTCGACAAAGGTGTAAAGCAAAAACCAAAACGGGTTGTCACAGTCGTAACGTTTAACCCGGTTGAAACGGTTCAGGCGGTCTGGTTTATTCCACGAACGCACTTGTTCAGGATATTGGACCTCATATGTGTAAAGCTCAAAATGCAGAGTTTCAGAATTTCCTGTCAAACATAAATCAATTAAGATTAAATGAATACTACGAGCAAGGCCTATGGGTCCGTTTTGTATACTTGATGGCAATCAGTACACCAATCGAATGAAAACTGAAGAGCATTGATGGTGATGGATAATTATAAACAATTCTTAAGATAGTAAAAGCAGGGACGTATAATAGGTATTATACGTCCCTGGTAAAAGTAAAGAATTTGTCACTGAAATTACACGCCGGTGACATCATTCTTTATCAAACGGTAAAAGCAAAACAGACAAAAATATAACTCACAGATTTAATAGAAAGCCAGAGGTTTTTTTGTTTGTAGTGCGCACACATTAGTTATTAGATTATAATACTTACGTCTAGATTGCTGGCAACACTTTGGTAATTGTAAAAATATAACGACGGATAATGATAGAATTATATGGGAATGTCTTTGATTTCCAATGAGTATCTAACTTGTTCTAGAAACTGTTTGAGTGACTAAGCGTTTACTTAGAGAAAGTTCCTACAGCCAATTAACTACCCGATTGCCGAAAATATTAACTATGTAACAATGCAACTTGTTTTATTCTAGTGACACAACAAACTTGGCGAAAATAAATAAACAAATGAAAAATTTCAGCATCACTAGCGGAACACATAAGATGGTTAAAATAATGTCGCGTTGCCATGGAATGCTGTCGCATGGTCGAATTACATTTGTTGCATTGTAGCGTTAAATGTCCATACTGTCGCGAAATTGCCCACATCAACCACCATATTAACTATCAAATATATTTTTAGATAAAGCTTTCCTCAGCTCAAATACTTGGCTTGATGAAAATATGAGTGTTAGGGAGTCGAGTCATCTAAGTAGCAATGGTTAAGCAGAATTGTCTTTTGTAAAATCTCGTGAAGAACCTAGATATTTTAAATACATGTGATACCCTGGTATCCATGGCAGCAGGGATAAATATTTTGTGCTCTGATAATTTAAACGATAGTTTATATAGGACAATATAAAGTCGAAGAGTGTTATCATTAACCTGGATTTTCTGTGATACCTGGTACGGTATTCAATATCGCATTTTCAAACGTGCATTTGTATGATTTTTACAGTAAGATAAATGAAACAAAATACATCTTTATTTCTTATTTCTCCTTTGATGTGATGTTGCTACACTTACCTGGGACGTACATGTACGTATAATAATGACAGATATCACAGCACACCTGTAAATACACATAATTGATTAAGTAATTAAATTGATTTCGGTTATTTTTATTTAATTGCTCATTAATCGGACCAGTGTTTACTGAATTATAATCGATTTTTTTTTTGTAAAAAAAATCCCTATCCGGAGATGGTCTCTCCGTCTTCCGTTTTTTTACTTAGACAAATCAAGATGGCTGAGGAGTACAGCCTTACGGCCGATGACAGGTACTGTAATAGAAGTTTATGTAATCTGCTCGTCAATTGTTGTAGATCGCATAAAAAATTCGGTTGTATATATTAATTGATGTTTGATAAATATATTTATACAATAGCATGGGTGACATTCAGTTATATTGATCAACATATTACGACTTTATTATGCAAGATTCTCGGCCACGTCAGTTATAGTACCCTTATAACACATTAAACTAGCTGACTTATACACGTATCAAGAATTACACATGTATTACATAAAATCACCATTTGAACGGAAACGACATTCTGATGACAGAAAAAAAGTCAAAATAAAATGATGATGCGAAAATGGTGTATATCTCTTGCTGTGTGCATTTTTTCTGAAGAGATAGATTTCAGTTTTTATTTTTTAGCTGTTCAAATCTGTATTAAGAAAAAATACACAAATTTGCCAATGAAATACTAACAAAAAATATTTTATGGTGAATAGTTTTAATCACTATTTTTGTATTATTTCTGGAGGCATGGCATGTTTAAGCAACAACAATTATCCTGGTGCAAGGTCACACAGGTAAATTGTGCATGTGATGTCCTTGACAAAATGGCCATTCCAAAACACATAATAGTCAGGAACTGATGTCCAGAAGATATGTGAAATATATAGTAATATACATTACGAATGTGTTATACCCCTGAAATATCAGGAGTTGTATGTAAACATTAGTCCTACTTTGTTAGTAGTATGATAGCTATATTTCTGTGATTACGGCCTAGGTTTCAATCTCCATCATCAGATCCTTATATAATAATCAACATCGACAGCTCTTCAGATCCTCATTATATATAAATTAACATTAACAGCTAAATCATGATCACCAATGATAAGAATCAGGATGGGAAATGAAATGAGAGGATTCTTTGGAGTACCAGTTCATCGTCTTACACCAAGGATGTTTACACATTCTCAGTTGTAGCATGGTGAAATTTAATGTTGTGCACTGTAACTGTTTTCAGTATTAAGAGTATGTTAATATTCAACTATATACTACATGGAAATTTCTAATGATGGGTATAAATCTGTAATGAAATAAAAAACTGAGGAAACAAAATTCAAAGAATTAGAATATGTTTTGTAGTTTGGTATTTGTAATTTGAATATGTATGCTGCTCATGTCTCAGTTAAAGTGATGTATTTGTGTTTTTGTTAGGTTCATTGTAACATAATACACTGTTCCTTATTTTGTAGTATCATTCATGAAGAGCTGGAGGTCCTTGAGTCTATATACATTGATGAACTTGAAGTCGACCATGATCACAAGTAATACAAATATTCCTTTTTTCCTGTTTAGTTGACCTAGTGTCAACCTGAATGATAGTAGAAAACTCTTTCTATGTTCTGGATTCCTGTGTTTATGATTGAGGAGAATCAAAAAGAAAAAGAAATGTTTAGAATTATATATACAATTAAATGTACCTTAAATAAAGAAACTTGTGTATTTTCCTTTCTGGTTGACTGATTATAGATTTCTAAAATGAGAGAATTCATAACTGAAAATTAAGTCAAATATATGAATCCTCCTTTTAACAGGCTGCTTTACAATGTATTTTAAATAAAGCTTATGACTTCTTTTTACATTCTGATGGCATTACAAGATGAAATGAATCAAGCATGTAAATGATAGAGAAAGTAATTTCATTTATAGTGAATATAAGACCATACAAATTATAGATCTGTGGGTAACAGCACCATCGAATACAAGTTTGCATTTGTCAAATTTTTAGTTCAGCAGGCCTGAAGAGCCAGGTGAGCTTATGACCGCAGTCGTAGGTCTGTTCATCACTTTAACTTCAAGTTGCTACTAGTTATGAATGACAGAGCCGATTTCAACTAAATTTGATCAGAAGCATCCCTGGAGGGAGAGGAATCATTTCTTTGTTGGGCCTAATAGAAGAAATAGAGCAAATCATTTGAATCCTACTCCTCTGGTAGAAATAATTTTATCCAAAGCATTTTTAACTGAAGAGGAATCAGTTTTGTGTAAACAATGGGTCTTGACCCCTTGGGATGGGATGGGACAGGTCACAATAGGGGAGATACAACAAATTTAATAAAATTGTTCTTATTCTACAAGAATTATTGAATTTTGCCCCAATTTGGGTCTGAAGCATCCTTATAAGAAGAGAACTTAATTTCATGTAATTGGTACATCTGGCCCCCATAAGGCAGAGGAGAAATCGCATATAAATCATTTACATGATTTTCATTCAGTTAAGTTGAAGCAATTTCAGATAGCTTAACCAGGTGAGCAAGGCAGGCCCTATTGGCCACTTGTTATTGAGTTAACTCCCCTTATTCAATGTGTGACTTCTTTGTACTGCAGAGGTCATCCATCCAGTATTAGCCTCCAGCTGCATCCATCAACAGGCGAGGATGTACATAAGAAGTTTGTCTGTATGACACTGACACTCAATGTGCCTATCAAGGTATGTGTTTCGTAGTTGGTAATAGCTCTGACATCCTTAAGGCCTGAATCTCTCCTTCAGACCTCAATCTGTCTAAATAATATGACTTGCTTTGGGACTGAAATTCAAATGGCAAGAGAAATAATAGTAATGCAGAATTTTTGTCTTTTTGCTTAAAGATAACTCCTTATATCAGACCCTACTTTTATTCAGTTGAATTTCAATCTTTTGTGTAGGAGGTATTTATTCATTCCAGAAAATGGATTTGATAATTCTTCTTGAATCATAATTGGATGCAAATGTCAAATGTCAACATCAAAAAATCTTCATCACGTTGAAAAACTTTGTTGTTATGAAAATGAATAGTATAGAGGTTTCATTAGTGGATGTCAGTGACATGGAAATTATACTTAGGGATGGGATTTTATGTCCTGTCCTTTACACGCTTATAGGATTTTCTTATTTCAATAAATCTTACAATTTGGCTTGTTTCCTAGAAATCAGTTCAATAAGTTTGAAAATTGAGGTCAGTTTCACAATTTCTTGCAGTATCCTGTTGAGCTACCAGAAGTCCTCATTAGGAATCCACGAGGCATAGGGGAGGAGGAGTTGGAGAGGTGAGTTCTTTCAGGAATATCATTGGATAGGTCAGGGGGAGGGGGACAAGTGAGTTTTATAAGGAACGTCATTGGATAGGTGTAGGGGAAGATGTATCTTTGGTCTGGATTATTGACACGGTTAAAAGTATTTCAAAAATTTGTAAAAAATATGATTGATATGCCTGATACCTTGGTTTTCTCTTTGATCAATGAATAATTTCCCTCTATTCTCTTACAGCTTACATGAAGCTATGAACCAGCTGGCTGTTGAAAGAAGAGGTGGACATATGTTGTACGATATTATTGAGGTGAGAAACAGTGAAATATTGCTATAATTGTATGTAAATGCTATGATTTATCGACCTTATTCTTTTTTGTGAAAGCATGTGTTGAAAAAAATATATGATGACTTTACTGATTTTTCCCCAACTAGAAATAGATTTCTGATATGTCCCCCAGAAGAAATAGTTTTACTGACATGTTCCCTACCAGAAATAGTTTTTCTGACATGTACCCTACCAGAAATAGTTTTTCTGACATGTTTCCTACCAGAAATAGTTTCAGTGATATGTTCTCTATCAGGAATAGTTTTAGTGATATGTTCCCCTCCAGAAAATTTATAGTTATACCGTGTAGCATAAACCAGATGTTTGGCAGTATATGTGAGCTATAAATCCATGTGTTTATAAATTCCACTTTTTAATAATGAAGAATTATGTCTCTTTCTCACAAATTTTCAGCCCACAATCTGGTAGCAGTCTTGTATTTTAACAGTAAAAGATTGTTATTACAATTTCTCAAGACATGCTGGATGGATCATCCACAAATTACATTTGTAGGTTTCTCTTTGTATCTAGTTGTGCATGGTCTGATTTTGGATCTGATCTGAAAATGATATGGCCAACAGGCAGCCATCTTGTATTTTGACAATTACAGTTTGTTATTGCAATTTCTTGAGAAGTGCTACACTGCTCTTTCTCAAATTTAATGTGTAGGTTCCCCTTGACTTCTTTGATTTTGAGACTGATCAGAAAAAACAAAATGTCTCACAGGTAACCATCATGGATTTGACAAAGATTATTAACGGGTTTGAAGGGATATTTTCTAATTTAATATGATTAAGAGCAAGAACAGAGAAAAAAATAGAAAAAGGGAAAAAGATCCAATTTTAAAGAACAAATAAAGATGAAACAGTGATGTAAACCAAGACCCCTCTGGGATCTTTAGTTAGGTTAGTTGCAAACAAATGACTCAAGTATCAATTTCTGGTCTCCAGAGCAGTAACTACAGTACAAAGCGATGGAATATGTGAGAGCTGAACTGAGAGAAATGAAGTCTATTTACTTTATACTGAATTTACATTAGAGATAAATTTGCTGTTTTGTTTTAAAGCTTGCCAAGGAAAGTCTGACAGAGGGAAATGTACCCCACTGTCCCTGTATGATTTGTCTGGAGCACTTTTGTGAAGGAGAAGAGTTCACACGTACTGACTGCTATCACTATTTCCACCGACACTGTCTGTACCGCTATGTATCTCACTGTATTGAGGCACAGAAGAATGAGGAAAACCAGCGCCCAAAACATGGAGAACAGGAGGAAAAGAACGAGGTTTAAATACTGTTAAACAGTCAACCTTATAATAATGTGTATTGTAAAATCCCAACACTGCAACTAATTGTAGCATGAAATGTCTTCATAGGGTAAAGTATAAAACACTGTCCAGAGTCCCTAGGTAAGTGCTTACAAGGTCGCATCAGGCACCCGACACAATACCCATGTTTAGATAAAGTTAGGGTGAGTCGTTGAGAAATACAATTCAACACCAATCCTCAGTTTTAGACTTCTGTATTCAGAGTCATCAACATGCATGAAGTGTGCTCATAACTGTTCACATGAACAGCATGCACCATCACTCTCGTTGATGTAGGGTAAAATCTGACTATTACTACACAGTACAATCCAACAAAGCTACAGCTAGTAATGAAATTCCCTGGACTAAACATTCACTCTCTTCTTGTACTAAACCATAGTCAAGCAGACTTTGCCAAATCTGGTAAACAGGAAGTCAAGCAGATTGACCTAAATACATCGGGATACACATAAACATATAGAAAACAAATGGAACTAATCAATATTTTAGCATTTTAAAACTAAAACAGAATTCAGTTGTTCAGCATGTTATGTTTTATTTCTTACCATAAAGAAGTAGTGGTTATGAAATACTTTTTTTAACTTGATCATTTTCATGATCTAGTCTCCAATATACTCATGAATTCATTTTTCAACTTGATGCAGATTTCCAACATCAGCATTGGAGAAATTTGTTTTAACAATTTGCTTAAGTGTGTCATTGAAATGTGAAGCGGAGAGTATAATAATGATGATCTTTGTGATATATTCCAATTTGTCTTTTCTTTGCTTCAAGTAAGTTTGTCGTTTGTCGGCAGTTTTAGAATGTGGGCAATGACAATAACACTTAAGTGATATTCTCAATCCAGAGATCAACTTCAGTAAATAATATCACAGCTAAATGAAATTATATCTCATGGTATTGTCCTTTGCCTTCACTGGATAAATCTGTAGAGAATGATATATAAATCCCAACCTTCATTTGAAAGAAACATATCAGCAACTTTGGAAGAGTCTCCCATCGTGATCTCTCCACAGTGTCTGTTACATTAGCGAATAAAAAGACATTTACAATTCTGAAATAGATATAACAAATTTTGTTTATTTACACTAGGAATCAATATCAACAACAATTTAGACTATCTAATGTATTGAGCTTCAACCTACAACCCAAGCCCAATCTGTTGACAACTTGACTGGAATGTGGGCGGAGCTTCTCAATCATCAGTGGTTGAAAGAGGTGTTTTGATTGGCAAAGAACATGTGAGAGACTGTTTCAGACAAAGTTGTACAGATCTTTGTTTTTCTTGAATTTTGCTGGTATTGCAATAATTACATCTCTTTTAGACTCAAATTATCTTAGAATGGGGATAGCATGTTTGTTTTTATGCATATACAGAAGACTAGATTCATGAATTTTGTTGTTTTAACACTTGCCTGCATCTCATGTTGAAACCAGAGTTCATGATCTCATCTCCAATATATGCATAAAACAAGCGTACTATCCCCTAATTGAAATACAGAGAAATTTCAAATTGGTAATAGTAATTTTTCCATGGCATACTTGCACAAATGAAAACAGAGAATGCCAATCATTTAAAATTGAATTGACTGATTATTGATACAAAAAACCTGAAACCTATTTTTTAACCTTTAACCATTGAGCATAACAAAATTATCAAACAGACATTACTCAGTTATTTTCCCCTTTGTAGGTATTATGTCCAGTTTGCAGAGAGATCATTTACTACGACATTGACCTCCTATCCTTATCCCAAGGTCAAGTGAAGGAAGATGATTGTCAGTACACACCCTCAGCAGATATCCTAAAATGGCAAGTAGAAATGGCAGCCATTTTGGAAGCCCAGAGACAGAAAGGAGGAGTTATTGACTTAGAGGCAGAGAAAAACAAGTTTCTAGTAACAGCTGAGGTAGGTTTACTGCTATGTCTATCTTACAATAACGCATTAGTTGGTAATAAGTTCTCAAATACATAGTATTGTTTCATAAAATTGCAAACAAATATTGTATACAAAGTCAGGGGGATGGAGGGCTTATTACAGGACAAATACAAAGACAAATATGGTACACAAAGTAAGGAGGGTGGGGGCTTATTACAAGGATAAATATGGAACCTACAGTAAGGAGAGTGGAGGCTTATTACAGGACAAATATGGTACCCAAAGTAAGGAGGGTGGAGGCTTATTACAGGACAAATATGGTACCCAAAGTAAGGAGGGTGGAGGCTTATTACAGGACAATTATGGTACCCAAAGTAAGGAGGGTGGAGACTTATTACAGGACGTATATAGCACCCAAAGTAAGGAGGGTGGAGGCTTATTACAGGACAAATATGGTACCCACAGTAAGGAGGGTTGAGGCTTATTACAAGGATAAATATGGTACTCAAAGTAAGGCGAGAGGGGGCTTATTACAAGAACAAATATGGTACCTAAAGTAAGGAGAATGGAGGCTTATTACAAGGATAAATATGGTACCCACAGTAAGGAGGGTTGAGGCTTATTACAAGGATAAATATGGTACCCAAAGTAAGGAGAATAGACCCTTATTTCAAGAACAAATATGGTACCTAAAGTAAGGAGAATCGAGGCTTATTACAAAGATAAATATGGTACCTAAAGTAAGGAGAATGGAGGCTTATTACAAGGATAAATATGGTACCCACAGTAAGTAGGGTTGAGGCTTATTACAAGGATAAATATGGTACCCAAAGTAAGGAGAATAGACCCTTATTACAAGAACAAATATGGTACCTAAAGTAAGGAGAATGGAGGCTTATTACAAGGATAAATATGGTACCCAAAGTAAGGAGAGTGGGGCCTTATTACAAGAACAAATATGGTACCTAAAGTAAGGAGAATGGAGGCTTATTACAAGGATATGGTACCCAAAGTAAGGAGAATTGAGGCTTATTACAAGGATAAATATAAACCCTTATTACAAGAACAAATATGGTACCTAAAGTAAGGAGAATGGAGGCTTATTACAAGGATAAATATGGACCCAAAGTATGGAATACCCTTATTTCAAGAACAAATATGGTACCTAAAGTAAGGAGAATGGAGGCTTATTACAAGGATAAATGTGGTACACAAAGTAAGGAGGGTTGAGGCTTATTACAAGGATAAATATGGTACCCAAAGTAAGGAGAGTGGGGCCTTATTACAAGAACAAATATGGTACCCAAAGTAAGGAGAATAGACCCTTATTTCAAGAACAAATATGGTACCTAAAGTAAGGAGAATGGAGACTTATTACAGGATAAATATAAAGACAAATATGGTACCCAAAGTAAGGAGAATGGAGACTTATTACAGGATAAATATAAAGACAAATATGGTACCTAAAGTAAGGAGGGTGGGGGCTTATTACAGGATAAATATAAAGACAAATATGGTACCTAAAGTAAGGAGGGTGGGGGCTTATTACAGGATAAATATAAAGACAAATATGGTACCCAAAGTAAGGAGGGTGGGGGCTTATTACAAGAACAAATATGGTACCCAAAGTAAGGAGGGTGGGGGCTTATTACAAGGATAAATATGGTACCCAACATAAGGAGAGTGGTGAGGGCTTATTACAGGACAAGGAAATCACACTTGTTTTTATTATTAATACCAATGGGTCAATATATCACATCATGTGTTACTTGTCAATAGATCAGGGTAAAAGTTTCTATGTTCAAATATTTGGGTTTAGTTAATCTAAGTGTCTGAATTTCTGTTTACTGGAGACACATTACAGAATTGATAAGATATGTCTCCATCAATTATACTGATTATATTTTCATTGTGCTACTCAGGACACTGTTCAACTACCACGGCAAGGCCCAAGTTCTGAGCTGGAGGACATTACAAAGACAAATACAGAAGCAAAGGAGAACAAACTGGTGTTAGAAAATAAGGCAGTCCAGAATTGTCAAAGTAGGACACAGTTTAAAAATGATCGACATAACAGAGCAGATCGACCAAGGCCAGGCTCTGGTCAGAGAAGTCACAGATACAGAGGTCCTAGAAACTACAGTCAAGATGGACATTGGTCATCTGATGGGAGGAATAGAGGGCATAAAACCCCCAACAATTACCACCAAGGTCAAGGTAGTAAAAGAAAAGAAGACTACAGTTACAAACAATCCTGGCGTAGATCTGACCAGACAGATGTCAACCATGGAACTATTTCGCCCAAAAATGAAGATGTGGATATAAACAAAAATTGTGAATCTACTTCTGAAATAGAAGTTGAAAGTGTGTTAAGGTCTGAAAGTAGAACTGTAGCAAAAGATGATGATTCCAAAGACAAACAGGTGCACAACAATAAGACTGAAATCTGTGATAAAGACTTGAAAAAAGAAAACCCAAACCATGATCAGAAAGACCTAGACGGCGCTGTGATTTCTCCCCGGAAATATACAGACAATCAGACAGAGCAAGTTCATGTGGATTCTGTTAAAAGAAAAGGATTTCCAGTGTCAGAAAGCAAAAGTAGTGCAAAGTTTTCTAACAATGCAAATTACAGGGATAATGAAAGTAGAAAGTCTGAGAATGAAAATAGCCATTATTATCAAGGTAGAAATAAGGAAAGAGGACATTCAAGTCATGGCAGAGGTCAAGGTCGTTCAGAAAGAGGTCGTGGACGTGGTTCAAGGCGAAGTGCAAACCAAGAAGACCATAGAGTGTCCAATGGTAAATACGATAGAACACAAGACAAAAAGGAAAGAGTTGGGATGAATAGCAAAGCTAACAGAACAGAGATCCAGGGCAATAATGACAAAGGATTGGTCTATGAGGAAATTGGTGGTAGAGAAGTAAGCTGTGATCACAAACAAACAAATAGATACTCAGGAAATGGGGAGTCGGAATACAACATTGAAAATCACACAGAGTCACATAACTCAAGGGGAGACATGAGGAGAAGTGTTGAGACTTCCTCAGAAAAGTATGGTGGCAGATTTACTAAGGCTCGGAAACATTTGAACAAGGATACACATGAACGTGTATTTGAAAGTGATCAAAAGACATATGATAAAGCTAAAAATAATCTGCCAAGTTCAGGGTTTAAGCGACCACCACCAGGATTTTCTCAGGTCAAAAATGTAAAAAGTCACGTCAAAATTCCACCTGGGTTTGAGAAACTTGAAACATCTAGTTAAATGAAGTTGTGGCTGTTATAGCAATGGTAGGTTATGATTACTGTTAAATCAAATACTGTGATGGAGATCAGTGTTTGTAATAACTAATAGCAATGGTAGGTTATGATTACTGTTAAATCAAATACTGTGATGGAGATCAGTGTTTGTAATAACTATTTCACGGACATTTGATTTTGTGGAACATTATGGTAAAACAATTGTATTCACTGATTTTTTTTATTATTGCCCATATCTATCAGGTGCATCACTTCATGAACAATGACAGCTGGGATTTTTTGGAAATATGTGAAAAAGGATAATTTTGAAAAGGAAATCCTTATCTGTTGATCAACAGTCTGGATATGTAAATTTTTGCGTCATGATAACGCATGCACACAATACACTGTCGCCTGTAAACAAAAACGGCTTCCCAGCTGAATCTATTGGGATAATGTTGGCGATTAATGCCACTTATTTTGTGATTCTGAATTTACTGAAGAGTTATCAAACAACATTTGCCACACCCACAACAAGATCAGGTGCTGAAAAACAGGATTTTACTTACTATGTCTCTATTGTCACTGTCATCTTTGCTGGCCATCGTGTGTTCATGTTTACAGAATTAACTGCCTCGTTTTCAAAACTTTTTTGCAATGTTATTAGTGCTAAATTTGAGAAGGGTTTCCTGAGCCAAAGAAATGGTCAAGCTGAATATTGGAAATTGACTCTGAATATCAGGATAACCTAGAAATGGGAATGTATAAAACAGGTGTAATCTGTAACAAAATTATTGTTTTCACCCTGATGTCCCTTTAAGTCTACATATATTTATTGTACCAGGGTAACAGGGACATATGAATTGGTCTTTTATAATTCATTACCCATGAAATCAATAAAAATAAATTCCCCGCAGGAATTTGTGATTTAACAATACATCATGTTTAAGTGTAATGCTTACACTATTTTTACCCGAGTGTTAGAGAAAGTAAAATTTATAACAAGGAAAGATTATATGTTGGTTTGTAAGAACAGGAAATCATTGAATAGTTGTTTAATTATTTTGCAAATAAAGCAATGTGGATTTTTTTTATAAATGCTATGTAGATTATAGGCCTAGAGTTATCACATATTTCTGCAGATTGTAACCATGGCTACTAACATATACATGTATGTTTCTCTGTATACTTCTCATTGATCAAATTACTGGGTGATTTAGTGTAACATACACAGACTACAATATTTCTTAAAATCATTTTTCATTATTTATTGATATTACTTTATATGGAATTGATGTACTTGATTCAAGTAATCTTATTGTGTTATGTTTGTCAGACTGAAAGATGAAAATACCAATTATTATTGATAACAATAAATGAGATATGTGTTTTTGAATGGGATGCAAACCAGGCTCACTTAACAGGATGCCTCTTTTAACACTTGGAAAGGCATGAATGCCAGAATTGGCCTAATTTGGCCTCAAGCATCTTTGGATGAACAGGAGTTAAATCGAATAAACAGTAAGCCCCCTTGGGGCTGGAGAAGCAAGGTAAAATAGGCCTCTGTCCCCGTGGGGCTGGAGGAGCAGGGCCAAATAGGCTACTGTCCCCTTCGGGTTGGAGAAGCAGGGCCAAATAGGCCTCTGTCCCCTTAGAGCTGGAGAAGCAGGGCCAAATAGGCCACTGTCTCCTTGGGGCTGGAGAAGCAGGGCCAAATAGGTCTCTGTCCCCTAGGGGCTGGAGAAGCAGGGCCAAATAGGCCACTGTCTCCTTGGGGCTGGAGAAGCAGGGCCAAATAGGCCTCTGTCCTCTTGGGGCTGGAGGAGATAGGCCAAATAGGCCTCTGTCCCCTTGGGGCTGGAGAAGCTAGGCCAAATAGGCCTCTGTCCCCTTGGGGCTGGAGAAGCTAGGCCAGATAGGCCTCTGTCCCCTTGGGGCTGGAGAAGCAGGGCCAAATAGGCCTCTGTCCCCTTGGGGCTGGAGAAGCAGGGCCAAATAGGCCTCTGTCCCCTTTTCTTCTTCTGTAAGAATGCCAAGATTCTGTCCCAGTTTAGTCTGCAGCATCCTCGAGAGAAAGGGATTCAATTTTGTGTAGACAGTATTTTCTGCCCCCTGGGATTGGAAGAAGGAGGCCAAATAGGGGAAACAGAGCAAATCATTAGAAATGCTTTTCCTTTAGTCTAGATGAAGCAATTGTATTGAACTAAACCATGTGATACAGGCCCTATTTTACTCTTGATTTTTTAATGCAATCAATTTTGTTGGACAATATTTATTATTACATTGTTAATGTCCTTAATGCAGTTCAACATAACAAAACAAAAAAAATGACACATTAAATGTGTTAAAATAGGTGACTACATTTCTGGACAAAGTAGAAGGGGGAAGAAGTATTGAGAATGATTTTTAATCTAATTTCTGAAGACTTCTGTTATAAAACAGTTACCCACTGAAACTCCAAGATTTCTCAAGGAGATCTATTAGGACAGGTCCTATGGTTGTTTTTCCTCTGTTGTGTTACATTGCTGGGATTTGTGATGAGACCCCACCCTGCAATGTATCTTTAACTTGTCTCAGTGATGTTTTGAACCAAACGTATACAAAGAAGAGAGCTATTTACATTTGTAATGTAGTCCTGTTGTATACCAGTTTGATTTGTATACATACCAACATAGTAATGAAAAACACATCCAGTATCAGGCATTTGGAAATTATAGTATATGATTACAATATTTAATAGTTTTTTGCTGTGCATCTCCAGCCTCTAGGCATTATGTCCTTTGATTATGTGGTAAATTTGTTAATGCCTCTGACTTTTGAATGTCTGTCAGGTCCTGTAATTTAGGATCTAAACATTGGATTAATGTAACTTGGGGTGATAATCTAAGGTGTGTGGTTTGATCCAGCCCGGTCCCTGCCTCGGTGGTTGGATTAATGTAACTTGGGGTGATAATCTAAGGTGTGTGGTTTGATCCAGCCCGGTCCCTGCCTCGGTGGTTGGATTAATGTAACTTGGGGTGATAATCTAAGGTGTGTGGTTTGATCCAGCCCGGTCCCTGCCTCGGTGGTTGGATTAATGTAACTTGGGGTGATAATCTAAGGTGTGTGGTTTGATCCAGCCCGGTCCCTGCCTCGGTGGTTGGATTAATGTAACTTGGGGTGATAATCCAAGGTGTGTGGTTTGATCCAGCCCGGTCCCTGCCTCGGTGGTTGGATTAATGTAACTTGGGGTGATAATCCAAGGCGTGTGGTTTGATCCAGCCCATTCCCTGCCTCGGTGGTTGATGTCTCTCAAGAAACAGGGAACTAACTACTTGAGATACCTTTCCAAATTTGTTGTGTTGCTACCTCATAGCGAGATGTCCTAGAATAGCACAGATTGTTCTTGGAGCAATAAATCTGTTAGGTAATTAGAGTATTCAAAAAATTGTGAATGTATGATGTTGCCAGTTTTTTAGGTAGCAATGTAAATTATTAAACAGAAGATCCTGTTATCAATTGCATTTGAACAGAAATCAATTTATGCATCATCATTTACGTGGTCAAGAAAAGCCACCAATTAAGGAATCTGATGGTGCGAGACACAATAGATGTTATAACCTGATACAGGATTTACATCAGTTATATAATACGTGTGTATTAGATGTATTTTATGATAATGTACTAGTTATTATTTCACATATGTGATTTTCTCAATCAAGTGACCATTTACATCGAAACAAAATGAAGTTATCTTTAATAAAGATAGAAACAAGTGTTGAAATATTTATTTGGTTACATGAATTGATGAAAAGGGGCTGCCATGGCTGAGTTGTTAAGGCATCTGAGTGTCAATGCCAATATGGAGCAGTCACCAGGTAATGGTCGTGGGTTGGTGGGTTTTATTCTGGAAGTCAGGCTTTCCTTCATCATCCAAACCAGAATTTAATTTTTTCATAGCTTACCCAGGTAAGCTTATGCTACACCTTGCACGAGACATCCAGTGTCTGTCAACAGTTTCTTCTCAACCACCGACTAGATTTCAATTGATTTTGTCAGGAAATGTCAGGAGGTGGCATTGATTGAAATAGGGGGCCGATGGGGGAGCCAAAAGGGGAAATGTGGATATAACGACTACTTCTTCCCTAGAACTAAGTACTGAATATCAATCATATTTATTATGAAATTTTCAGGGAGGTGGATTCCAAACTGCACAAATGGAGGGGCTGATCATACTGGTGAATAAATGGCAGGGTTCAAAAGGGGATATATCATACTGGTGAATAAAGGGCAGGGCCAAAAAAGGGATATGTACTGGTGAATAAAGGGCAGGGCCCAAAAGGGGATATGTACTGGTTAATAAAGGGCAGGGCCCAAAAGGGGATATATCATACTGGTGAATAAAGGGCAGGGCTCAATAGGGGATATATCATACTGGTGAATGAAGCGCAGGGCCAATAGGGGATATATCATACTGGGGAATAAAAGGCACAGCCCAAAAGGGGATATATACTGGTGAATAAAGGGCAGGGCCCAAAAGGGGATATATCATACTGGTGAATAAAGGGCAGGACCCAAAAGGGGATATATCATACTGGTGAATAAAGGGCAGGGCTCAGTAGGGGATATATCATACTGATGAATAAATGGCAGGGCTCAATAGGGGATATATCATACTGGTGAATAAAGGACATGGCCTAAAAGGGGATATATCATACTGGTGAATAAAGGACAGGGCCTAAAAGGGGATATATCATACTGGTGAATAAAGGGCAGGACCCAAAAGGGGATATATCATACTGGTGAATGAAGGGCAGGGCCAATAGGGGATATATCATACTGGTGAATAAAGGGCAGGAACCAAAAGGGGATATATCATACTGGTGAATAAAGGGCAGGGGCCAAAAGGGGATATATCATACTGGTGAATAAAGGGCAGGGCCAAAAAAGGGATATGTACTGGTGAATAAAGGGCAGGGCCCAAAAGGGGATATATACTGGTGAATAACGGGCAGGGCCCAAAAGGGGATATATCATACTGGTGAATAAAGGGCACAGCCCAAAAGGGGATATATCATACTGGTGAATAAAGGGCAGGGCCCAAAAGGTGATATATCATACTGGTGAATAAAGGGCAGGGCTCAATAGGGGATATATCATACTGGTGAATAAAGGGCAGGACCCAAAAGGGGATATATCATACTGGTGAATGAAGGGCAGGGCCAATAGGGGATATATCATACTGGTGAATAAAGGGCAGGGCTCAATAGGGGATATATCATACTGGTGAATAAAGGGCACAGCCCAAAAGGGGATATATACTGGTGAATAAAGGGCAGGAACCAAAAGGGGATATATACTGGTGAATAAAGGGCAGGGCCCAATAGGGGATATATACTGGTGAATAAAGGGCAGGGCCCAAAAGGGGATATATCATACTGATGAATAAATGGCAGGGCTCAATAGGGGATATATCATACTGGTGAATAAAGGACAGGGCCTAAAAGGGGATATATCATACTGGTGAATAAAGGGCAGGGCTCAATAGGGGATATATCATACTGGTGAATAAAGGGCAGGGCCCAAAAGGGGATATATCATACTGGTGAATAAAGGGCAGGACCCAAAAGGGGATATATCATACTGGTGAATAAAGGGCAGGGCTCAATAGGGGATATATCATACTGGTGAATAAAGGGCAGGGCTCAATAGGGGATATATCATACTGGTGAATAAAGGGCAGGGGCCAAAAGGGGATATATCATACTGGTGAATAAAGGGCAGGACCCAAATGGGGATATATCATACTGGTGAATAAAGGGCAGGACCCAAAAGGTGATATATCATACTGGTGAATAAAGGGCAGGACTCAATAGGGGATATATCATACTGGTGAATAAAGGGCAGGACCCAAAAGGGGATATATCATACTGGTGAATAAAGGGCAGGGGCCAAAAGGGGATATATCATACTGGTGAATAAAGGGCAGGGCCAAAAGGGGATATATCATACTGGTGAATAAAGGGCAGGGGCCAAAAGGGGATATATCATACTGGTGAATAAAGGGCAGGGCCCAAAAGGGGATATATCATACTGGTGAATAAAGGGCAGGGCTCATACTGGTGAATAAAGGGCAGGACCCAAAAGGGGATATATCATACTGGTGAATGAAGCGCAGGGCCAATAGGGGATATATCATACTGGTGAATAAAGGGCAGGAACCAAAAGGGGATATATCATACTGGTGAATAAAGGGCAGGGGCCAAAAGGGGATATATCATACTGGTGAATAAAGGGCAGGGGCCAAAAGGGGATATATCATACTGGTGA